TTGTGTTAGGTATTAGAAGTAATCTAGAAATGACTTAAAGACTATGGGAGGATATGCAAAGACGGTATGCAAATATTATGCCATTTTATATAAGAGACTGGGAATCTGCAGATTTTGGTATCTGAAGGCACTGTCCTGGGATCAATTCCCTGTGAACACAAGAGACAACTGTACACTCAATTTTAACTATCTATTAAGCTTCATGCAAAAGTACTCTCAATTTACTATCTGAAGCATCTAACATCTTTAATACAATAAAAAGTTAGTCCACTAGCACCTTTCTCTTTGTTTATATACTACACATGCACACATGCATATACAGTCTTTTGTTCTGTTTCTTGAATAATTTTTACAACAAGGCAGAGTAATCTTAAGTGTCTACAAGGGATGAAGAGCTTGATGAAAGGGAGGGAATTAAGTGGAGGGAAGAAAAATGAGCAAATCTTCCACACCAACTAACAACCTGATTTGCATTAGTTTTTGATATGCAACTTACACTGAAGTAGTCTAATTAATAATACTACTTCTTGGTCCCTGATAAATCTTAACTCTCACAATTTTGCCCCCAAACTTGTTTTTACTTCTAATCAAAACTTTCTCTGAGGTATCCTATGAAACAGGTCCACTTGAGTCAAAAAAGCACTTCGTACAAACCTATCTCATAAGTTTCCTTCCTCCTCTTGATATAGTAGTTCATTAATGTTTAAATTTTAACCATCTATAAGTGACCTGTCAACATCAATTGCCACAATTAACTGTTAACACAAAAATAATTCTATATAACCAAAATATTTTAATTTAAAAAATTTTTTAGAATCTTAAGTGTATGATATAATAAATATTTACTTATTTTAATATATCTAAAATGGCAGTATGTGGTGAGCTTAAAAAAAATACACCCTGAAAATGTGCATATGTATATAATTTATATTTGTAATGTTACCACAGAAGAATCTGTATTATAAGTCTGTGATAACTGGCCTCTGCCCAATATTCAAAAAATTCCACAAATGAGTCTGTCATACTTTGAGAATCACAGAGAAAGCCCACTTCAAACTGCTTTCAATATGAGTGTCCTTACTTAAAGTATGACCCCTACATGCACCAAAAGAAAGCTATCTTTTTCTAGCTTCAGCAGTTTCGTTGGTTCAAAGTATCATTTTTTGTATTAAAAATGACAATAACCAAATCTTTTTACTTTAGAAGTGAAAAATGAAAATTTTAGTTCCTACAACTTTAGTTTAAAAGATGCTTTATATAAAACCACGGCAGTAACAATTAAGGAAACATTTGTAATTCTCTGCCACACTGTAGCAACTATGATTACTTAATATAATTCAAGGACTGGGTTGTGGCTCAGTAGTAGAGCACTTGCCTAGCACTTGTGAAGCACTGGGTTCAATCCTCAGTGTCACATAAAAACTAAATAAAAGTATTGTGTCCTTTTAAAAACAAAAGATAATTCAATGTTTTATTTTTCCTATCTTAACAGTGAATGGGTACTTGTTCTCCTTTCTGTAATAGGCAGATAAAATATTTAAAAAGAGAAAAATGTTAGTCTTTTTTCTTTGAAAGTCAATTAAAACACTTTTAATATAGCACCCAATAAATACTACTCTTCTAATATGAAGGCACACAAGGTATATCCAATTAGTTTTAATTGAATATAAAATTTCCTGTCATTCAAGGCTGTACCCATCTAAAATTCATGCAGTGAGGAAAAACACTAAAATATTCTCTGAATCACTTAATAGTATGGATGAGTGTATGAAAGTTTAAATGGGTAGGAAATTTACCCAAATTCATTTAATAATAGTAATACTCATACATTCTCACTAAACTGAATGTCTATTTCAATAATAAATTAGATTTATTTGATACCATCATTCCTTTTACACTTCAACATCTTTGAATTAGTGATGTATTTTACAACTACTGGCATGTCTTATCAAAAGCAATTTCTGTTTCTAAATGGTGCTTCCAATGAAATACAAAACACTTTTCCAAATTAAAAAAGGTAGCTTCTTTTTAAATGTAAAACCACTGCCCTCAAAAAAGTTCTAAATGTGTGGTTCTATAAAATATAACCTTTTATATAAAAGTAAAAATGGCAAATTTAATGAAGTGACTAAATTCACTGCTTTGGTAAGAATACAATCGCTTAAATAATAAATAGATTTTATCAATGAAATATATCAGGCCACTTTCAAAGTTTTAAAGGAATAATTTCATACTACTTCTATCTTTCAAAGTATTTCTCCACCCCCATATTGAAACAAAATTAGAACACAGCATGTACCCATAATATGATGCAGATAAAGACAACACTGCTATTTCTATTTACAGTATGAAAGATCAAATACAGTATATACATTTAAGCTAAGTAGAGAAGCCCATGTTTAACGAAATGTTTAGAGACATTAAAATATTTTAGAACTACTGACTTGGTTTACTAATACTGACAAAGTCACATCACTCTAACATGTCACATATTAAAATGCTATGTGGGGCTAGGGGCGTTGCTCAGTGCTAGAATGCAAGGTTAGCAGGCACAAACCCTAGTCTCATCCCCAGCACAGAACAAACCACCACTACATAATTCAGGGTCTAAAGTAGTTACTTCCTGCAGCACCTGAAACCACTGTTATTAAAACAGCTATGTTACTCCTAACATACTTCTAATAGTTAGCATTCTTGTGAAAGAACTGTGAGCAAAAGAAGCAGATCATAATTTCCTTCTAGCTATTTAAAAAGAGCATTTTCAAACATTTCCTAGGTTGGTTTCAAGATATAGTACTGCCAACTGATTAGGTAACTTTCACCTTCAGAACCTTCAAACCAGCTTAACACTTGAACTTATTTTGTTTTCAAGTTCCCACATGGAGGTGTAACAGTGATGAAAAGTCTGGGATCCATAAACACTAGGAAGCTTCACATTTTTCATAATTACTTAATTCAACTCAATGTCACTTAATTTTAATCATGGTAAATGCAACTAAAGTAGTTGAAAAGAAATTCCACTCAATATTATTTCCTTAAGGACCAGGCCAATGTTTTCTAACATTAAAACTTTGCACCAATGTCGTAGTTCTTCCTCATTACCCTAAGAAAATTATCTCAAACTAACTCCAAATTATTCACTTAATTACCATGGAAATAAACAAAGTAAACAGTATTTAAACATTTCTACTCTCACCTACTTTTTCAGAAAGTAAAATAGATAATGTACTATCTGTAGTCAAAACACCTTGTAAAAAAGAGATTTTATTTTTGGCCAGAAATCTTAAAGTTATCTTATGCATCTCTAGATGATCAGAGGTAAGGAAAACCAATCCAATTTTAATGGCTGGTGTGCTCTATCATTTTTGAAGGCTTGACAAACATATCTTAAGTACTTTTGATAAGCAAATAGTGAGTTGTTCAAAATGCACAGCAAAGAAAATGACTATTCATAGAACCAAATGAAAGCCTTCCATTAAAAACTAAAAAACATCAAAGGGGTTTTTAATATGTATATACTGTATATGAAAAACCCAAAAGAATATAAACAGCAAATAAATGAAACATAAAAGCAAAACCAAACAGGAAACCAACCCCAAATTTTTCTCCTGTTCAGTTTACCTGGGAGGCTAATCCCAAAAGTGTTACCCAGAGCCTACCAAACATATGATGGACACTTTGTTCTTGGTACACAAATTAGTATCTTAAAAGTCCACCAACACCACTATATCTATCTATCTATCTATCTACATATATATATATATAGTTCAATTAAGTAATTCATGTCAGGCACATGAATTAAGAAAGTCTTTAGTGCTACTACTAAACTATGCAGAATACCAAATACAGTGTGAAACAAAGCAATGCAAGCATTTATGTGAAATATGGCTCCAAGCTAAATCTGGCTTCACTTAGCTATGTTAAAAAAGAACTGCCACCCTGCCACTGTATTTCTTTATAATACTTCTTATTTTATCTTCACAAAGACTAAAAACAATAAGCTGTAACTATGAGCAAATTTGCCAAACTTTTCCAATTTTCTATCAGATTTTAAAGAACATTTCATTACCTAAACTCTTCTTCACTTTCTCTGTATGTACATGAAGACCAACATACAGAGAAAAAGAAAAAAACTATGACTTACACAGTAAACATACACGGATGTTGCATACATACTATATGAGACTGCATGATTTTAATAACAAAGTAAATGCTTTTTCTACCACACAGTTCTTTGTGTTGTTATAAGAATAATAGAAAATTTTCACAACTAAGCACATGCTTCTAATGATTCAGAGTCTTAAGAATTTGTAGGTTAAAAAAATACAATTCCTAGAACACTGTTATCAAACAAATAAGTTTTATTGGCATCTAAAAACAAAATTCACCCAACATTGAAACGTACTTTAATATTTATGTTGTTGTTTACTTCTTTTTTTTTTTTCTTTTACTCACTGCAGTATGAGGAACAAATCACACACACTTACTTTGGAGTAACAGAGACCATAGTGTAGATTTTACAAAATCACTTTTTAAAATCTCTGTAGTATGCTCCTCAAATATCTAGAGCCAGTCTTTGCATAAAATATCACAGCTTTGTCTACTACCTTAAAATGCTGCAGCAGCCTAGAGATATGGATAAGATATACCACCACTTGCTATTTTGAAATATATCTATTACCATATCCAACTTACTGATAGTATCTAAAAAATTCTTTCTTCCATAGGAAGTCTCTGACAAGCTGTTATTCGTTTCCTTGACGTTAAAAGAATCTGGGGCAACATTTATATTTTATCAGAAAAATAAAAAAAAAAGTTTACCTATCATGTTCATATTAAGAACAATGTCTATACAAGTCAGTTGTACAATTATTTTAAGAGAAAGGTGAACATGAACATCAGATTAACTTAATTCTGGCAGACAAAAGTGAACAACTATGGTCCAGTCAGCCATTAATCTATTACAGAGAGATGACAACTTTACAAAAGGTATCTTTTACCTACTGAGTGATGATTATGTCCCCTCAGTTTCTGTGCTTTCTACCACCACTGGTTCACTTTCTATATCAGCAACTGTGTCACTCTTCTCCTTGTTTATGTCACTTGAAGACGTCAGTTTTTCATAAAGTTCAGGATCATTCTGTACTGGTAAAGGCGGTGGTTGAGCATGTCTCTCTGTATTTTCACCATTAACCTGAGGCACATTATCACCTTTTCGTTGAGAAGTGGCCCCTTCAAAATAATCAAAAACCCGAGCGTGAGGAGGGGGGACCCAAGTGTTTTGAATTCTATCTCGTCCAAGACGATTTCCATTCATTTCTCTGCAGAAATCAAAATCTCTGTCATCCCTATCCCTCTGCCTTTCCCAGGGTCTTCTGCGGTCATCAAAATCTCTGTGAACTTCTTGTCCAAATCCTCTGTTCCAAGGACCACTTCTAGGATCAAATCGGTAGCTTCCAGCCCGAAATCTACCTCTTTCATCATGTAATCCTTTTGGACCACCATAGACAGGGAGAACCCGGTGCTCTCTCTCATCAAAATCTCCTCTATGCCCCCAGGGCTTCTCTGGAGTAAAGCCAAAGTGGTCTCTTCGACCAAGATGATCTATACCTGGCCTCACAAGATTCTCTCTGATATCTACAGGAGGTCTTCCAAAATGATCCCTACCGTCTAATGGAGGCCTTCCAGGACCTTCTCTTGGATCTATAGGCCGCCCAACCACATCCCTAACATCCACTGGGGGAGGTCTACTAATGCTCTCCCTGGTTTCTATGGGAGGAAACCGGTAATCTCTATCTCCTTCCTGTTGAATGTTATCACTCCCAAGCGGTATCCTTTTTTCTGGGTTAATAACATTTTCTACACTTTGTCTTCCAGGAGCTAGAAAAGGTCTTTCTGGCTGACTAAAAATATCTCCTGGAGGAAAAGGTCCACGGGGTGGTGGATGAAGAGCTGAATCAAGTACCGATGGGGGAGGGATTCCACGTTGGGGTGGAATTCCAGGTTGTATTAAAGGGAATCTTGGTCCAGGGGCCTGTGGTATTAGTCCTGGACGAATGTCTAATATTGGCATTGCAGGCATCCTTTGACTTGGGATATTTAAAGGGGGTAAATTTTGAGGTCCAGCAGGTGGCTGTGTTCCCAAAAGTCCAGAAGTGTTTGTGACATTTGGTGGCTGTACTCCTACAAGTCCAGAATTATTCGGCATATTTGGGGGTAGCACTCCCAAAAGTCCAGAACTATTTGACACATTCGGTGGCTGTATTCCCAAAATTCCAGAGTTATTTAGAATATTTGGTGGTTGAGCTCCAATAATCCCAGAACTACTGGAAACATTAGATGGTCGGACTCCAAGAATTTCAGAGTTACTTGATACATTTGGTCTTTGGACTCCCAAAATTCCAGAATTGCTTGTCACATTAGGCGGCTGCGCTCCTAAAATTGCAGCATTACTTGAAATATCATTCGGAATCACTAAAAGCGGAAAGAAGAGAAATAATTCAAAATAATAGTTATTCTGGCATGAAAAGGAAACTTCACTTATAAATTATTAATGCTATAATTTCCAGTAATTAGCTGGAGTTAATCAGTTACTTGTATCCGCAAAAATCAAGCTATACTAAACACTAAATAAAAATTGAGTTTAAATTATTAAAATTGGGGCTGGGGTTTTGGCTTAGAGGTAGAGAGCTCGCCTAGCACGTGCAAGGCCCTGAGTTCAATCCTTAGCACCACATAAAAATAAATAAAGGTATTGTGTCTAACTACAACTAAAAAATACATGTTAAAATTTTTTTTAATTATTAAAATTATACAAAGTGAAATTTAAATATTAAAACTTAAGTGGGACTGTTCTATAAAACTTTACACTGATTCACTTACCTTTAATGGAAAGCCTTTTTAAAACATAATTTTTAATATACCAATAGCAGGGCCATAACAAAAGAACTTAAATGCTTTCAAACACCGTATTTATCATCCAGATCTAACTGGATAATATCTAGGATTGGTAGAAGTTATTCATACCTAATACTTGCTCATTTCATTTTCTTATAAACATACAGGTTCTGTGCAGCTTTATTTTCATAATAATCCACTGAGGCAGGCCAAAAAGGTGCAAGGGAACCGAAATCTACATTATTCTGAGTAAAATGTCATTTAAAAAATCAAAGTCGCTAGGTATAGTGATGTCTCTCTCTCTCTCTCTGAAAATTACAATATTTCAACATCTGTGCAAATGCATGCCACCCCAGAATTAAATATCAATACATAAAGAAATGCTATGAGATTTAATAGCATTTCTAGAGATTTATTTTATTTATTTTTTACCTGATCTGCTGTTTTCACCAGAAGAAATCTGGTGTTCTAAAAGATGAGGTACTTTTTCTTCAGGCTCTGCTTGTTTAGGTGGAGGATTAAAAACATTTCCAGCTGGTAGAGCAGAAGTAGCAAGACTGCTGGCAACTGGACCACCTGGTAAAACAAGACTACCAAATCCAACATCCTTCACAGCTTCAGGGGTCATGGACAGTGGCGGTTGCACTAAGGCTGTTTAAAGAGAGAAAAATGTATCTCAGATTTATTAGCTAATGAATTCATATTTTCTGGCTGCTTGAATGATTCACTTTATGGCATCTTTATTACTAAGGACATTATATAATAAATAATGCTCAAAAGGACCAATAAGTTATCATGAAGAGACTAAGGCATATTTACAAAACTTTACTTTTAAAAATAGGGAACACCAACAGGTATAAGAAGTATTTTTTTTAACAGAAGTGTTTAGTAAAGCAAGAACCAGGACTAAAGAAAATTCCAGAAATACAAAAAATTACTTTTCCAAAGACACTAGCCAGAAAAGCAAAATATACAGAAATGATTAGCACAGACTAAATGATTAGCATCAGAATGAAAATCTGCCCATTCTCCTTGAACCTACAAGGTACATTCTTACATTCACTACCTTTTTTCAAATGAAATTAGAAATACAGATGAGATGGACTACAAATACAAAGCTATTGAAACCATGTTTTAAAGAACTGATAGAAAAATTCTCAAGACCAAACGTCATCTATATGTTAAAAAGCAGAACTAGAGGAATGTTAACTACACAACTATGATTTTCAAATCATATTTGGAGATCTTAGGAAATATTTTTCCTCACATTTGACTCTAGAGTTACCAGGACAAACTGTTAGCACATAAGAGAGCAGTAAAATACAGATTAAAACCCCTATGATCAGGCAACAGGAAGTATTAAAAATGAGACAGAGTGTGCAAGCAATCTGGAGCACACCAGAACTTCTTTCTATTAATCAATTCCTGATTTTCCAAACTAATAAACTAGGAATAATTAGGAGGCAGGATTTAGCGTAATTTGTATGAATTCAGAAATAACTTCTGAACACTTAGTCTAATTTTCTGAAATAAATAATTATTCCTAATTAACCAAGAATATTAAAAAGGAAAGATTCTAATGTGGCCTAAACACTAAAAGAAGAATTCATTTAAGAATCCTAAGAAGGGGCTGGGGATGTGGCTCAAGTGGTAGCACGCTCGCCTGGCATGTGTGCGGCCCAGGTTCGATCCTCAGCACCACATACAAAGATGTTGTGTCCGCCGAGAATTAAAAAATAAAATATTAAAAAATTCTCTCTCTCTCTCTCCCCCCCACTCTCTCTTTAAAAAAAAAAAAGAAAGAATCCTAAGAAAATACTGGATTAGACAAAAGGAAATGAAGGGAAGAGAGGGTAATGGGACTAGGGAAGACAGTAGAATGAACGGGACAGAACATTCCTATGTTTATATACGAATACAAGACAGGTGAAACTCAACATCATGTACAACCACAAAAATGGGAAGTTATACTCCATGTAGGTATAGTATGACAAAGTACACTCTATTGTCATGTATACACAAGAACAAACAAAAAAGAATATTAAGAAAATGCATTAGATATCCAAAGTTAAGATCTCTATTTAGCATATATATTCTCTTGTAATATGGGCCTTTTCAGGTCTAATTTTTGACATATAAGCTTGACCCAAATTACTAAAGGTTTGTTTAGAAGATTAAAGAATAGCTACAGGGAAAACACATGAAAGCAATAAAAATGAATAAAAGTGCATATTTAACATTTCTGAAATGTCCAAAAATAGGAAAAAAGACTAACGAATTAAAGGTAATAAATGTCTGAAATGATTTACATTTCAGTTCTTGTTTTCCTTTTGAAATGTTTATTCTAGTAAAGAAAACCAGGTAGGCTGGGGTGCTTATTCTATGAAAATGTCAAAAAAATGAAAAATTCACACATGAAGCTGGTGCCACTACTACAAAGAGCAAATTATGTTTTCAGGTGACTGAAGGTTAAGGGCAACTTGATTATACATTTTCAATAAATACATATTCTGAGGATAAAGATATCAGTGCAGAAATGTTAAGTTTCATCCAGAATGCTTGTTAGCACTAATACTGGCCTTTTCACAAAAAACTACTGTGTACTGGGTGTGCAGGTTTTAATTATAAGAATGAAAATAAGTAATCAAATTAATGTTTTCAGTAGAATATAAATTTAAAAATCAAAGTAGCTAAGTAAAAAAAAGTTCTATAAAGTCAAATTTGTTTTACAGTGTATGTTCATATTTTTTTTCCTTTTCAAAACATGTATTGTCTAGTTTTATATACTGAAAATTCCTATGCCCAAAGAAATCGCAAAAGCAAAATGAAAATCTTATACCCCAATTGTGACCTCTAAATACTATATCCCATTTGGAGAAATGATGGATTCTTGAACTAGAGCAGGAAAAACACAAAATCAGTCAGGGACACAATGGGCCAAAAAAAGGCTAAGAAGTCTTGACAAACTAATGCAATCATCTTAACAAAGAAGCAACACATAGGTTCTCCAAATTGTTCAAAGATGAAGCAATCTGAACTTCATGAAGAACAATAAATGCAAGTGATTGGAAGAAAGTCTTTTAATCCATAAACACCGAGAAAGCAATCAAAAAAAAGGAAGAAGGGAGGACAAGGGAGAGGAAGAGGAGAGAGATAAGAAATCCTCCCTGCCTCAGTTATTGGTTATCACAGGAATGCTCCCTAGAACTAAAACATCATACTGAAAGATGGAAATTAAAGATAAGATTTCACATCTACCCTGACTTTCCTGCCCAGACTAAACAAGTACCATTAGCTGATGAGAAATAATTTGTTTTTTCTTTAAATTGAAAAAACTCTAGTTAAGGAATGTAGAAGGAATTCTAGATTTTAAAAGATACAACTTTGCAATTAATGGCAAATAATTCAAGCAACAATGGCTAATGGATGAAACCATCATATAAAAACTTGAAGGGAAATGTTTCAAATGACCAAGTTCCACTACCTGAATGTTCTGATCCATCATAACATCATTAAAAGTGGAAAATACACCAAAGGCTAACCCTAATGTAAACTATGAACTTTTTCTGTAATCATGTCTCAATGTGGGTTCATCAGCATAACTGTACACCATTCTGGAGAGGCTAGGCATGTCAAGAGTTCGAGTATATAGGAAATTTCTGTACCTTTGGCTCAATTTTACCATGAACCTAAAACTGCTCTAAAAAACAAAGTAAACCACAAGGTAAAAAGATAAGATGCTACATGACTTCTGATGTGATGTCATGCCAAGTTTAAGGCATTTGTGAAAAAAGCTAAACTAGGATCTAAATCTTTAGTGCTCACTTCCATTGCATAAGAAATGTAGAGACACAGGAAAAAATTTAATACCACAAAGATGCAAAAATTCTAATCCATTATTTGGGATCTTGTATATATATAAAAACTGAACTGTTTCTTCAACATGTCATGAAGAATAATGAAATGGAAGGAGAGTTTAGGTGAATCTGCTCTAGATTAAGACATTTAATAAAGCAAACAAAAAGCACAAACATGATGGGGGGTAAAAACTGAACTGTTTCTTCAACATGTCATGAAGAATAATGAAATGGAAGCAGAGTTTAGGTGAATCTGCTTTAGATTAAGACATTTAATAAAGCAAACAAAAACCACAAATATGATGGGGGGATCTTCTTTGAATTTTGACTTTCTGACTACTAAACTCAATTACAGAAAAACACTTTGAGACAACTGAGCAAATATAAAAATTGCCATAATACTGTTAATTTTTAGAAATCATCTAACAAATACATTTGTTTGAAAACTTTCATTAAAAAAATAAATTCACAGGAATTAGAACCAATACACTTGATACTATTGGAAATAAAGAAAATTCTAAGTAGAAAACTCACATGTTGGTACTACTGGTGGAATTGCAGGGGGTGGTACAACAGGCGGGGGAACTGGAGGGGGCATGAAACCTACATAGGAGGAAAAAAAAAGACCAAAAATAAAACAGTAAAAGAAAAAGTATTTGTTTCAAATCAGAGATTTCAATAGCTATAAATGAAATTCCACATTCTTCTCTTTTATAGAGATGGGGATCCCATTGTGTTGCCCAGGTTGACCTTGAACTCCTGTGCTAAAGTGATCCATCAAGCCTCAGCTTCCTGGGCAGTTGGCACTACAGGTGCACACGACCACATCCAGCAAAATTCCACTGTTTATTACTATGCCCTCATATTTGTGCATATATTTTCTATTTTTTAAATGACATTTATGTAAAGCATGTACTTTATTAAATCCTAAATTAGGATTAAGCAGGGAGATACTGATCATAAACACATTTATGTATTTACTCATTCAAGTCCTGAGACACACTCTGTGCTGCTATAAAACCAATGATTAATTCAAGTCAGCTAACCTATTTACATTAAGCACAGAGTGTGCATGGGGACAGTGAAACACATTTCAAACTACTGATCACATTATATGCAATGTCATCTATGAGACACACCATTTTAGTTCTTTGATACATATGCTGTTTACCCATTAGATCAAAATATTTTCATTAATCTTAGAGACACTATATGTTTTGAGGACTAGAATAAGTTTTCATTTTAATACTGCCTTTTTTATTATTTTAAAGATCAAATGATCATGCTATGAATCTGATTCTTTGCATTTTTTATTTTAAACCAAGCCACCAGTAAACTTAATTAGAAAACAGTGATAAAAATAAAGATATTATCAACAAATTCAATGATGGAAAATAATTTACCAAGTCTATGTGGCATAATTATTAAAAGTATAATTTCACAATAGCTTCAGAAATTTTCATTTTCAAATGAATACAGAAAATAATGGAAAAGAGTAATTTCTTTCTTTCTTTTTTTGTGATACTGGAGGATTGAAATAAGGAGCATCCTACCACTGAGCTAAATCCATAGCCCTTCTGATTTTCTTTATATTGGGACAGGGTTCAGCCAAGGCCATCCCAGAACTTGTGATCTCCCTGCCTCGGCCTCCCAAGTTGCTGGAATCACAGGAATGTGCCACCATGCTCAGTAACAGGAAAGATTTTTCAACATTTAAAATATTAAAGATAAAATTCTTATTAAAATCTGTCCATTTTAGGAGCTGGGGTTGTGGCTCAGTGGTAGAGCTTTAACCTTAGCATATTTGAAGACCTGGGGTCGATTCTCAGCACCACATACAAATAAATAAATAAAATAAAGGTACTTTGTTTAACCACAACTAAAAAATAAGTATTAAAAAAATCTTTCAATTTTACATTATATATTAAACAGCAATTAAATTTTTTATATTAACCTGAAAAATAAAGCATTCTATGAAGATTAATTTACTTTTTTGGGGCATGGGAGGGGGGCGGGGGGGCCCCACCGGGGATTGAATTCAGGGGCACTCAACCAGTGAGCCACATCCCCAGCCCTATTCTGTATTTTATTTAGAGACAGGGTCTCACTGAGCTGCTTAGCATCCCACTGTTGCTGAGGCTGGCTTTGAACTCACAATCCTCCTGTCTCAGCCTCCAGAACCACAGGGATTACAAGTGTGTGCCACCACGTCCAACATTAATTTACTTTCTACTCTTGTTGACCATTTTTAAGAACTATATCCAATGGTTAAGAATATAAATCAAAGAAAACAAAGTACTTCTTTTAATGTGCAAATAATTTATGAAGCTAAAAACTATTTTGAGAAACAATACCTAAATCACTTGATTCCTGTATCTCTCCCTCATTCCTTTAACTTTCCATGGTCTAATAAAAGCTCTATAAGCTTTATAAAGCAATTACATATACTTAATTGTTAAGATGTGTGTTAAGGGCTGGGGTTGTGGCTCAGTAGTAGATCACTCGCCCAGCACATGCAAGGCCTTGGGTTTGATCCTCAGCACCACATAAAAATAAAACAAAGATATTGTGTCCATTACAACTAAAAAATAAAATTAAAAAAAAAAAAAAGATGTGTGTTAAGTAATTTATAGTTTTAACATAAAAGCACTGATTTGGGCACTTTTGCTTATCAACAATTTATTAGGCCAACAAAAATATTCCAAGTTCAATCAGCATTTTAAAATATAATTTCTAATATAATGGAACAATCTACAGAATTTTGTGCAAACTTTCTGATCAAAAAATAACAATTATAAATAACTTTCAGCTGGGCAAGGTGGTGTATGCCTGTAATCCCAGTTATTTGGAAGGCTAAGGCAGGAGGATTGCAAGTTCAAAGCCAGCCTCAGCAATTTAGAGAACAACTTACCAAGACCCTATTTCAAAACAAAAAATTAACAGTCTGGGATGTGGCTCAATGGTTAAGAACTCCTTGGTTGATCCCCAGTACCAAAAGTTTTACATTAAGTGTTGTTATCTTCAATTATTTTAAAGGAATTCCTTTTTCTCTGTCAGTGCTTCTTCCAGAAATGTGCCTTCTGAGCACAAATTAGTAATGAAAACACTCTGGCCCATCTACAAACTTAGAGGAACAAAATCTGGTATGCTAAGGTCTAAGAACCACTGGCTCCTTGACATTTAAGCCTGGAAAAAGAACAACTTTGATGATATTCTAAATACACTTCAAATAATAAGGTGAGTAGAGTGTTTGCTTTGCATGCACAAAGGCCCGGTTTCAATCCTCAGCAACACAAAATAATAATGTGAAAATTTCTTACCAGGAGGTGGTTGTGAAGGGTTAAAACTTGCTCGCAGAAAAGGTGGTGGAGGTATTGGGCTGAATCCAGGAGGCGGAACTGGCATGGACACAGGAAATGCTGGTGGAACTAAACTAACTGTAGGCACCGCTGGTGCTACTGGAATCTTTAGTGGATAGGAATTTTAAAAAAAGCCACTTATCAGTTTATTCACTTGCAATGATCACATCTTGGGATAGCTAAAGGTAAATTTTACATGTATGTGTAGACTTTTAGGAAAGCAACCAAATATCATTACCAACCCCCACAATTTTGTCAATGAGTATACTTATTATGGTAAAAGCAAGGCAATAAAACACAATAGATAATTTACTTGGAGATTGTGAAATCTTTCTTATATTCAAATGATGTAAAATAATGGATGCCTGGTTGAATACTTGAATATTAGGATTAATTTTCAACTGCCTACTAATCTCCTATTAAGCCTAGATAATACCTACCAATGTCACAACACACCATTAGAAAACATGAAATAACAGCTTTAGAATGGCTCAAATTTCTCTTACATTTATCTTCTTATCCCAACATGAATATCCTTTACGCATCTTAGGTACAAAATTTCATAAAAATTTACCTGCTGCATAGCTTTACCTAAATTTCCCACTGTATCAACTGTCTATTCAACATCTCAAGTTCACTGTCTAAAAGATACTTCATACTTAATATGCACATACAAAACAACAAACTCCCAACTGTGCTTCCCAAAAGAACTCTTCTGGCAGTCTTTTCCATTCTTATTAATGGTAAATCCATCTTTCTAATATCTTAGACCAGGAAAAAAAAAATCCTTTTTCTCTGCTTTTTCTCACAAATCCATATTAAATACTTCTAGAAGTCCCATTGATCATAACTTCAAAGCATGTCTAATATTTATCCAATTCTGATTACTGCCACAACTAGCATGCTATTTGGAGTAAACCATCATATCTCACCTTTATTGCTATATTGGTTTTTAACTGGACTCGCTGCTATTATCAATGCTCATTATAGCCTATTTTCAAAATAGTAGTCAGCACATTCCTTTAAAACTATCACGTCAGATCAAGTCATTCCTCTGCTCAAAATCCTCCAATGGTTCATCTCATTCAGAATGACAACCAAAGACCTTAGAGAGGTTTACTGTCGCTAACCTGCCTCTCACTGGCCTTACTTTAGCCACTTACAGTTTCACGGCACCTGGAACACACCAAGTATGTTCCTGGCATACAGCCTTCCAATTGGTGGTTCCCTTTACCTAGTGGGCTCCTCCTCAGATATCCATATGATTAATTCCCTTAGTACCTTTGTTGCTCAAATGTTAAGATTCTCAACTAGGTCTAACCTGGCCATTGTATTTAAAATTATAAGGACCTACCCAGACACTCCCAACCAGTTTCAGACTATCTTTACCCTTCCATAGCATCTCTCTCATATTTTACATTCTCTCTTCCCTATTGAAAATGAAAGCAGGATTTTTTTTCCCCCTCACTAATGTGTTACTCTAACCCCAGGTTCCTAAAATAGTGCATGTCTCAGAGCCAGAACTCATTAAACAAAGAAAACAATCATGCAAGTTTGCAGAGGCAATATTTTCCACATTTACCTTTTTTAAACTTCTTGTTTGGCACAATGATACCACAGCACCAGCAAAAAATCTTTTAAAAAGACTAAAGAGATTTAAAAGAAAAATTCTTTGCCTAACATTACTGACAAGACCTTTCCTACTTTGAACAATTTCCTCCAAGTTTTTATAAAGTAAATAGTGAATACATAAGTAAATACAGAAATGTAGAACAACATATATTTTTTTAAAAAGAAGGAAAAAGAAAAACAACCACACAGTACTAACCTGCAACATGGCAACAGGTGGAGGGAAAACCTCTGCCTGGGTTGTGACCACTGTCTCCTTTTCAACTGGAGTTGGACTCTGAGTTGTCTGGACCGTCTCTTTAATGGGTTCTGAGCTCTTCACTGTTTCCCATTCTAAACAAAATATTTGAAATTAATTTCCTTTGGATAGGTGCAACTTTTCAATTTTTCCTATTTATACATCTATATCACATCTAAATCCTTCATCTACCTTGGTAAACTTTAGAAAACATCTACAACTTCGGTGCACTCTAGGTTTTTGCCCAGATACTAAGAAGTCCAAAAAAGCTTGATAAACAAGACATTTAAAGATAACACTTAGAAGAGATATAATAGAAATATATCACAAAGGATGTTAGATATACAAGGAACCAGCCTTATCTATATTTTCATCACAAGATACAAGAAGAGACCAACAAAGGAAGTATTAACCCAATACAGAAAAATCTTCCTGAAAATACAACTATGCAAAAATAGCACAAAGAGGCCCTATGGGTCCCCCTGAGGTTCTCCAACTCATTTAGACTAAAAAATCAAATAAGATTAATAAGAATTTACCCCTTTGTACCCCTTAGCCTTCATCTCATACTCCTCCCTCACCCGCTCTGCTAAAGCTATACCAGTCTCCAAATTTCTGAATATAGACTTGCACTTCATGTTCCCTCTGACTGAATACATTCTCCCCCAGAGGCTGTCTCACCTCTTTAAATAACTGTCTCTCCACCAGACCTACAAATCACTTAAAAACTGTAATACTTAAACACCCATATGCTTATCTTCCTTCTCTGCTTTTTTTTCTTATAACTTATTGACACAAATACTATACAGTTTGTATTTTTTTTGTATGTATTATCTATTTCCATTATAACATGGATTGGCAATCTCTTCCTATATAAGTATCACAGACTCTGTGGGCAATATGCTCCCTGTTGCAACCATTCAACTAATATTGCAAACAACAAGTCATATGAAATAGGTAACCAAGTGAGACTATTATATTTCAATACATTTTTTGTGCAGAACAGCACACTGGCAGGATTTGACCGATGAACTGTGACCCCTGTGCTATACCTCATGTCAGTAATAATTTTTTGTATATTAGTCTCTGTCATAATTTCCATTCCAAAAATTAGGACTTACAAAAAAAAAAAAAAAAAAGAACCAAAGTCTCTATTAAAAGAATGAACGTTCTGGAGAAGAAGCTGAGGTGGGGTAAGGGAGACTAACAAAGAAAACAACTAAGGTCTTGCTTGACATTGGACTCAGGACGTTCATCCAGGCTAAGCACATACTCTATCACTGAGCTACATTTCCTACCAAGAAAATAACAGAAAGAAATTGTATAAAAATATCTACATTGGCCCAAGAACAAAAATATTGTGGAAATTAGCCAATTTTAATGAGAGCTAAAATGTGAAGAAATAAGTCACAAAGAATATTTCAATTCTTTCCCAAATATCAATTTAATATTTCCTTCTGGATATAACTGCTAATTATCTTGTGAATTTATAACTGAAATCTTTTAATACAAAAAAGGTAATTTTAAAAAAAAGCAGACCAAATGATGTAGGTACTCCAGAAGTATTATTATATTGCATGAATGTGAATTGCAGCTTTTTAGACGAAGACTCTATTACTGGGGAGGCTGAGGCAACAGAATTGCAAGTTTAAATCCAACCAGCAAAAGTGAGGTGCTAAGCCTGTCACTAAAGAAAATACAAAATAGGGCTGGAGACATGCCACAGTGGTTTAGTGTCCCTGAATTCAATACCCGGTACCACCCCCCACACACACACAAACACAAATTCTATTAATGCTCTTCCCAACATGGACAATATTCAAAATAATCTGGAGAGCTTCTCAAAGACTTTTAAGCTCTCAGTTCCCACTGAACTCAAAAAATTAAAAATGTTTAGTCAAAAAACCTTCCACGTACACAAGTGTCAAAAAATAAGATAAACATGAGGAATGCTACATTTACAATATACTTCTAATCCACAATTTTCTAACTATGCTTTTAAGACTTATGAAATAGGACCCATTAAATATATACAATGGACACAGCAGTGTTCTTTTCCCTCTTCTTTGGGAGATGAATTCAGTAAATAAAATAGAACAGATCATTCTATCACCCCAAATCCCATTTCAAATACAACCTTCTAAATGTACCTTTTTAAATAATAAAATGGCCTTAGGGGGCTGGAGTTGTGGCTCAGTGGTAGAGCACTCGCCTAGCACACGTGAGGTACTGGGTTCAATCCTCAGCAACATATAAAAATAAAATAAAGGTTATTGTGTCTATCTACAATTAAAACAAATATTTTTTAAAAAGGATTTAAAAATGGCCTTAGGGTTCTTACCAGTATTTACAGTTTCCTGATCAATCATGCCTCCTTCTGCAAAACCATCCAAATCATCCACTTTAACTTTTTCCCATGGTATATATGTAACTCCAAGATCCACATCCCAGAATTGTTTGTATTCTGTTTTTACACCTTTATTTAAAGCCCAAGCAATCTATTGGGAATGGGGAGAGGAAAAAAAGGAAGCTCTTATGTGTACTATAACAACAATGCAAAAAGTTCAAAACTTTATATTAATACTACAAATACAAATAAAATTAGTTTTGCTAATTTAAATCTGCATTAGTATAGTGTGTATGAGATTTATTTCCACTTCCTACTGTAACGCTAAAATAATACATTTCCAGAGACAATCCAAATATTGTTTTCACTATAAAAAGGTCAAATTTACATTAGCAATAATTAGGATAGTTACTACAATTCAAACAAAACCTGTACACCAAGAAAGAAAATGACTAGCTATACTTGAGTTTACAAAAATAACTTTGCCATGAAATGGCAAATAAAATAAACAGAAAGGAAGCTCATAAAATGGTGCCCTTGTTTACTCAGAAAATTGTACAAGTGTGGTTTTAAGGAATAATTTGACTAATGTTTGGTTACTGGACTTATTTTACCTATATCTAATTCTGTAACTCAACAATACTGAAGGAATGTTTCTGATGAGCTGTACCTATAACATTAAAATGAAAACAAGGCTAAGGGCTGTAGCTCAGTGGTTCAGTGCATGTTCCACAGGCTTGAGCCCTGGGCTCAATCTCTGGCAGTACACCATGGGAGAAAAAATGAATACAGCCAGGTGCAGCAGCATATGCCTGTAATCCCAGTAGCTCAGGCAGGATCATGAGTTCAAAGCCAGTCTCAGCAAAAGCAAGGCTCTAAGCAACTCATGAGACCCTATCTCTAAATAAAATACAAAATAGGGTTGGGGATGTGGCTCAGTGGTCAAGTGTCCCTGAGTTCAATCCCCCAGTACCCACCACACCCTCAAAAAAAAAAAAAAAAAACGCCAAAAAATAGTTGAAAATCCCTCCCATCCCCTGCTCCTTCAAATCTCACCTTAATAACCTTGGAACCGATTTTATATGATCCGGAACTCAGTTTCTGAAGAGCCCGAAATGCATCTTGTCGATGTACCATACAGACATAAGCACAACCCCTGGGAGGAATCATCTATTTAAAAAAAAATAAATTTTTTTTTTTAGAGTATAAGGATGGAAATTCATGTTGGATTTTACAGTTTTAGTGAAACAGAACACTGACTACTAACTAATACACCAATTTTTGTAGGTTAATCAACTAATTTCCCCTGTCCTTCTGTTTACTGATTTTGTTTATGTATTATTAATATTATTTATGTACAATTAACTCAGTTAAAAATAAACAAAATTCAAAACCTAATTTGGCTTCATTTTAAGTCATATGTGAAATCTTAAATATTGAATGTTAAGATTTCTTGAGTACAAAATAAAGAACTATTAAAACAAAATAAATGTGCATCTCCATATATAAAATACTACCAAATAAAAGGGAAATAATATTGTATAGCCAAAATGTTTGAAGGCAAATAATTTATTTCTAGTGATACTCTCAACTTTTCCAAATGATTAACTAAGGAATGTGTGAAGGGTTTTATTTTGGGGAAGTATCATCCTTAATATAAAATCTGTATTTTTTAACAATCGATGATAAAACTACATTTGTTTTATTTTGAACAAGACTTCTGAACAAAGGTTTTAACAATAGGAAAATAATCTTAGTTACAGATCTGAAGAATGATTCATGAAGCATGTAAACTACTACACTCAAGTGCCCATGTGAGAGTGATTACTATTCTGTGAGACTGTTTCTTATATTCATCTTAAAAACGAGAGAGGAAACAATACTAGGTCACATACAGTGTTCCTGCTAATTCAAACATTTGATGTTAAGAAAAAAGTTCTAGTTGGGTGTGCTGGTGGTGTAATACCAGCAATTCAGGAGGCTTATGCAGGAGGATAACAAGCCCAAGGTCAGTCCTGGTAACTTAGTGAAACCCTGTTTTAAATTTTAAAAAAAGGAACGTACCTCAGTAGTATAGCACTTCTGGGTTCAATCACCTGTATTGCGAAACTAAATAAATACAGTGCTAAACTGCTAAAAAATCTACTACTAAGCTTAACTAGGAACTAAAGTAGATTCTTTAAATGAGTGAAAAGCTTGACTTTTAAAATTCAAATTATCATTTAAAAGCTGGTACTTACATTAATGGATTCAATTTGTCCAAACTCTTCAAAAAGATTGGTTAAATCTTGCTGTGTCGCTTTCTTGTCTACCTGACCAACCCAGAGAGTAGTGCTACATACTGTCAAGAAATAAAATAGACAAAATGACCTAAATCACAAAGATATATAGTTACTTCTTTCAAGTAACTTGAGGAAAAAGTATTAATGACAGATAAAATTCATGATGATATACTTAAAATACTTATTAATGGACACTTATATCTGTTATGTTTTTGATCGAATCAATTCCAACTATTCAGTCACATTTCCACTGTGTCAACCTCTTGCATGTCACCTGTTCTCAATTTTACCAGTGTCTGCTGTAGGAGACTGTGAGTGGTATGTGGCATGCTACACCAGAATATGGGAGGTTTTGTTTTTGTTTTTATCTTAATTCCCCCAGCTGACCACAATGTGCAAGAAAGTTTTAAAACCACTTTCCATTACAATCTTACCAGTCTTTCAAATATCCTTCAGTATTAGAATGAATAAGTGGATGTCTTCCCTACAAACAAATAAATCTGAAAGCCATACTACCTACTTTATCATTAAGGAAATAATAAGACTCTGCACAGAGATTAAATGGGGGAAAGACTATTCAGGAAGCCATCCGAGAAATGAGGATCTTCTCTTGGCACGAAGCCAGGGAGAGTGAGGTTTGGCCGTGGGAACTATACCTAACTATACCACTGCAAAGGACTGCCCAATGCATGTGACCTTTATCTTCACTTTACTAGGAAGATCCCCCATAGTAGCTCCGGAAATGGGCATAACCAATTAGGAACTGAGCAGCCCACCTTTAACCTTTTTTGGTGAAAAAGAACATTCTATGGAAGGCCTTTGATGTTTCTCGATATAAATAAAGCAGGCATGGGCTCCATTTTGCCATAGTCTACAAGCTCGATCCCTCTGATCAGCTTGCCCATTCTGCCCCGCTTCTGACACTACTTTCTGAGTTCTAGTTTTTTCTAAGTTTTTATTTCTCAGCCAGCCCATTCCACCGAGGGAATCCCATTCCACTGCCTATGCGGGACATGGGCGGGACGACTGAATTATAACTCCTTGTTACCATTTTATTTCCTTAATAAAATGTAGACTCTCTGCCTACTTTCACCTGGACTCTGCCTCCATGAATACCACCTTTTATTGAGGATACTTATATTACAGCTGACACTAAGTTTTAATATACTGACTTCGGACTTATGTCAATGTCATTTTAAAAATGAAGTTTCCAGCTTTCTGACTACCTTGATCTTGACAGGGCAGGTCTAGGACAGGCTCTATTCTGCGGTCAACTTAACCTCACACTGGAGTACGATTGTTGGCAAGATCATTATTGGGTCCTTCCACTCTGGCTTTTCAAAACACAAACATCTTCCAGACCTAAGTAAGCCATAGAAATTATTTAGCTATCACAGAACACTAATAAATGTTCTTTCACTGCTAGCTATTCTTTGTCTCATGTAGCATTATCCTACACATATATAATACTTAACCAAAAAAATCTTTCCATCTCATGATCCTTAATATTTTTAAAATTTTAAATTAGAGCTTTAGGGGTTTTTTGTTGTTGTTGTTGTTGTTGTTGTTGTTTTTGAGAGACAGAGAGAGAGAGAATTTTTTAATGTTTATTTTTTAGTTTCCGGCAGACATAACATCTTTGTTTGTATGTGGTGCTGAGGATCGAACCCGGCCTGCACGCATGCCAAGCGAGCATGCTACCACTTGAGCCACATCCCCAGCCCCTAGAGCTTCAGTTTTAAAAGGACTACAAAGTCTCTTTTATTGTGTGCTATAATTTGGATGCAAAATGTCCAATAAAGAGTTGGCTGACAGGCAGTGATACTATTGGGAGATGGTGAAACTTTTAGAAGGTGATACCGAATACAAGGAAAAATAGGTCACTGGGGGCTTTCCCTTGAAGGTGATACTGGGACCTCAACCCCTTCCTCTCTCTCTCTCTGCTTCCCAGACCCATGATGTGAAGTGGTCTCCTGTACAGCCTCCCATGATGCACTGTGCCACCACAGGCTGAATGACAACAGGACCAAGCAACCATGACTAAAACCTCTGAAACTGTAAATCAAAATAAAACTTTTCCTTACTGAGGTGGTTACTTATTATATTTTGTTACAGTGATAGAAAGCTAACTTACCTGCCTTCTAATGCAAATGTTTTACAAATTGCAGAAATACTGGATGTAAAATATCTTTTGGGGGCCCATTATTCAATCTACCACAAACCTTTAGCAGACTAATGAAGTTATTTGACTAGCTCCTTCCTCTTCCTTCCTGTCTTGCATTTTCTAGCTGTCTTAATATCCCCAAATTCTGTTCATGTTTCCTAGCTCTTTCTTTTAATCTTTCTACAATTTTTTCTAAGAAGCAAAAATGATTCTCCCTGACCCCATGAGAAGTTGTAGATACAACATATCTCCCAAAAGTTCATGTGTGAGACAACCCAAGAATTTTCAGATGAAACGATTAGATTATAAGGGATGTGACCTAATCACTGGATTAGTCCACAAACATGAATTAATTGGGCATTAATTGTAGACAAGCAAGATATGGTTGGAAGAAGAAGGTCACTGGGGTTGAGCCTTTAAGGTTTACATTTTGTCCCTGGAATGCAGAGCTCTCTCCAAACCCTTCTGCCATGATGTTCTGCCTTACCTAGGGTCCAGAGCTATAGAGTTGGCCAACTATGAAATGAACCAATGAAACCAAAAAAAACCTTTTCCTCCTCTAGATTGTTGTTATTGATTTTTGTCATTGCTATGAAGACTGACTAAATAAGGAGAGGACAACTTGATTCCTGGAATGTTACTGTTTGTTGATGCTTCATATTTCTTGGACTATTTTCAAAAATCTTGTGTTCTAAAATCTACTCTAAGCACCAATAACAGGGAAACACAACCTCATGAGTTTATTATATGTAGAGAGAATATTGATCAGAAGAATATGATATTGTTTCAGAGTAAAAAGAGTTCTGCAGTTAACAATGTGAGATATATTCTTTACTATATTTTCTAATTTTATTTTTTACTGTATGATATTTTACTCATGAAAATAACAGTAATAAAACCTAAATTTATGCCAGGAATGGTAGAACATGCCTGTAATCCCAGCGGCTTAGGAGGCTAAGGCAAGTAGACCTTGAGTTCAAAGCCAGCCTCAGCAATTTAGCAAGGCCCTAAGCAACTCAGTAAGACCCTGTCTCTAAATAAAATATAAAAAAGGACCGGGGATGTGACTCAATGGTTAAGCACTTAGGTTTAATCTCTGGTGCCACAAAAATGATTCATAGATAGATTGATTGATTCCATCATATTACTCAGCCATAAAAAGGAATGAAATCTCTCATTTGCAGGATCATGGATTAAAATGGAGAAGACTGTGATAAGAGAAATAAAGGGGGCACACACACACAAAAAGAACACCACATCTTCTCACTCAGATATGGAAGTTAAAAAAAATGATTTCATAGAAGTAGACTAGAATAAGGATTCAAGGGTTAGCAGAGATTGGAAAGGTATGGGAGAGATGCATAGAAAAAAGCTGATTACTGGGTTCCAAAAAAAGTTGATTTTCTTCTTTTTTTCTTCTTTCCCTTTACTTTTTTGCAGTATTGGAGATTGCACTCAGGGCTTCGTGCATGCTAGGCAAGGGCTCTACCACTGAGCCCTATCCCCAGTTCAGCTGGATAAGAGGAATAAGTCTGGTGTTTTATAGTAAAGTAGGGTGACTAGAGTCACAAAAGTTTATTACATTTCAAATAGCCAAAAGAATGTTCCCAGTACAAAGAAATAATAATTGTCTGAGATGATGGATATGCTAAATACCCTGACATGATCATTACATATTGTATGCATGAATAGAAATGTCACATTGTACCCAACAAATATGCACAATCATTGGGTGTCAATTAAAAAATAATAAGTTTTAAAAAAAGAAAATAGATTCCACGGTCAACAGCTATGTAATGGTGACAGCAACAATGTAAGTGAGAACTAAATGAAAGAGACTCTAAATAGTAGCTCTACCTTCATACTGGTTAATGAGTAATTCTGAATGTTCTACTGGTAACCATGCAAGGAGGCATAGTAGCGATTTTGGACGTTATTCCTTTATCAGACAGCACTTAATAATTTTACATTTAGTCTCTCACCCAAAGGAACAAAGAGACACATACGAAGATAAAATATCAATATTAAATTAATACTACCTCCCATAACCAGATTCTCAGAAGATAGCCAAGACCTACTCGAACTGCCAAAACTTAATCAGAAGATGGGTGTTGCTGCCTTTAATTTTAGGCCTGCAATTTCATAATGCTCTAGTAGCACACATTATACCAAATATTTATCTATCCCTCATGCAGAAATAATTTGGAAACCTTCAGAAATTAGGTATCATGATTAATGTTTACTTCTTAACAAATGATCATAACTTGCTACATTTTATATACCTCTGTGCCCATCTATAGTCTACTAGTTCACCTTAGAAGTGACAACCCAATAAGAATGCCCTTGAAGAATTTGGCAGTAATTCATTTTATTATGCTATACCTTAACAATCCTATTATATGAATGTCCCCTAGTCTGCTCCTAAAACAAACTCAACCATTACTAAATCTGTTCTAATTATACACAAAAGATTAACATATAAAGAGGGAAACAGCCTGTACAATAGGAATTCCTCATCTAGAATTAACCTGCAAGTTTATAATATGGTTTAAAAATTATAGCAAAGTAGGGCTATGCGCATGTCTCCATGCTAGAGTACTTGCCTAGCATGAGGAAGTCCCTGGGTTCAAGCCCTAGGTCTGCAAAATTAATAAGTAAATTTTACACACACATACAAAGTGTATACTTCATGTAATAATTACTTCTATAAAACTGGTGTTCACAGTTGGTTAGGATGCTGTAGATAAGAGAAGTTGCATTATGCTATAGATATTAACCTGGTCTGCTTTATGTGTCATTAAAGTCATATTTCCTAACTTGCATTAAATTTTAAAAAAAATCCACTCTAAACACTCTTAGTATTTGAGTAGACTCTACTTTTCCTTTTTTTCTGTCACATTAAAAAAAAAACCAAAAAACCCTAGGACATAATCATTCATTTACCTAACCCATTTTCAATTTTTTAGTCCAAAATATAGTTTGGTTTAGAGAACTTACAGGAGATAACTATTTTTTGAATGTATTGAAACCAAAGTTTTACAGAAGTATGTTACTTACCACTTAATGTTTTAGATCTAATTGGAGGTAATCCCTTTTTTTGTCGTTCCTTCTCCCTTTCTCTGGCTCTCCTTTCACTGGAGTATGAACGTGATGACTTCCTCTTCCTCTCTCTTGAGCGGGACCTTGATCGCTTTCGATGTTTACGCTTGCGAGAACCAGATCTTGACCTGGACCTCCGTTTCCTTGGTGATCTACAAAAACATACAAAAAAAAAAAACACATTTCTTTTTATTTTTAAGGACAATGTTGTCCTTCTTTAACACTGCTCAATTCTAAATGAGGGGGAAAATGTATATTCAGCTAACTCTTAAAATATTTAACATTATATCAAACACACATAGTGCTCAATTCTCAGAGAAAGGTAGGTTCGCATTAACCACAAATATTTGTCTAGTGCTTCTGAGTCTTGGCGATTATTCACTATCAGGAGGAAGATGAAGAATGAGATTTGAGAAAGGACTTCACTATAAAATGTAGGCCACTAAATAACTCAGTTTAATGTTGGTCAACTTCTAAAATTCATATAGTGCTTGATTGAAAGGTGATACTGAAATACTTTTTAAAATTTACTGTACAAACTTTCAAGAACATTCACATATAAAAATTAGGGTCTAAAAAATGTAAAAGAGTGGTTAAATTACTGGTTTGGTGGTTCATGCCTGTAATTTCAGAGATTCAGGGGAAGCTGATGCAGAAGAATTAAAAGTTCAAGGACAGCCTACATAACTCAGGAAGGTACTGTTTCAAAAAAATAAAAAGGGTTAGGGATGTAACTCAATGGTAGAATGCCCTGGGTTCAATCCCCGTCCTGAAAAAAAAAAAAAAAAACTAAAAAAGTTAAAGCCTAGTGAGCCCATAAATACAAACATTTCTTATAATGGCTTTACAAAATAATTTTTGGGGGCTGGAGTTGTGGCTCAGTGGTAGAGCGCTCGCCTAGCTTCTGCAAGGAGGCCCTGGGTTTGATCCTCAGCACCACATATAAATAAAGGTATTGTGTACAACTACAACTAAAAAATAAATAAACATTTAAAGTAATAATAATAATAATTTTTGAAGTTTTATTTTTCTGGTCATTTTTAATATCATAAAGTAAACTGAAATGTAAGAAACATGGCTTGATTTAATGGCTGTTGAGAGGCAATAATATCCTAAACTAGATGCCTTCCTAGTAGTATTATTAATTCAAATCAAGTATAACCCAAATACAGTCTCTTGATACAGCTATTATTATACAAATCACTCAAATCAATAGCACAAACATTCTCAATATAAAAATGGAACAAAGGTTTCTTCTTCTTCCTTTTTTTTTCAATAGGGGGTGAGGATTCTTGGGAATTGAACCTAGAGGCATTTTACTACTGAGCTACCTCCCTCAGTCCTGTCTAATTTGATAAGGTTTCTCTAAGTTGGTAAGGGCCCAGTGCTAAGTTGCTGAGGGTGGCCTTAAACTTGTGATTCTCCTGTCTCAGACTCCTGAGTCACTGGGATTACAGGTGTGTACTAACATACTCCCAGCCCGTTCTTGATTTTAAAACACATTTTATGATAACATTTCAAAAATCAGTCAAAAAAAAAATCTTTTAATCTTGATGGAAAGAAAAAAAGCCAACATTTTAAAAAGTTCACACATAGTTACTGTTAAATAATATTATAGGACCTTGAACGAGATCTCGAATGAGTTCTTGATCTGGAACGAACAGCCACTTTCTTAGCTTCTTGTTCAAAGATTTCCTCTTCCACTCCATCTTGTCCTTCATCTATATCCATATCCTAGAAAGAAGAAGACAAATAAAAATCCCAGCTTAGATTTAGTTACATAATAACATTTGTGCCTTAAAAAATATTCATGATAATGACATTACTGCTTACTAGGCAAAACAGATGGACTGTGGCGCTTCAGAAAACCACATGAGGACCTTACCACTATACAACATTTTGTTTTCTTTAAATAAGTTTATAAACTACGACTAGATAAAGCATTTATTTTTACCTGTTGCTGTATATCTATAGAATCATCCAAATTTGTTTCAGGTTCAAGAAAATGTTGCTGACTACTCCCTTGTGATGGTGACGCTGAATGCTCTGATCCAAATGTCCCTTCTTGACTATCTTGAGGAGTTGCCTGTTGAGAGCACACAAATGTTGGGAGATAATTTAATTACAAATGCAAATTTGTACACAGCAGATATCACAATAAAATGTTTAAAAGTAGTCCAACACATAAAGAAATTTCATGTTAAATAATTTTTAAAGTTATCAATCTAAAATTGCACTTGTACATAAATACAAATTTACTTGAAATCAGGGAACATTAGAGAGGGTACTTCAGATATTTGAGTAAAATGTTCTTTGATTTTTAGTTATTTTGGTAATGTCCAAATGGCTATTAAAGCAAAAGTTCAGAAGTTCTCCTATAAATCACTAGGTGGTTGCAATTCTCACTAATAAAAGGCAAGAAACAGATTAGATATATCATTTAATTTTGTTTGAGTTGCATCACGTTACAATAATTTCCTGAGGTTCTTTTTTAAAAAAATAAATACATAAAGAATTCCAAACACATTCAAAGTAGAATAAATGTCAAAATGATCCTCAAAAAAATAGTTTCCTAGGCCTTAGGGTGCACTGAATTTAAATCACCTTTGTACATATGCTTTTTCTAAACTAAGAGAACTCTTGAGAATTATTTATTTCAACCTCAAAATGTCTTTTTAATGAAAGAGAACTTATCCTGGCAGTAATACGAAATCTATTTTTCTTTCATATTTTTCCTCTATGGGAATAAAGAACACAATAGCACATAGTCGGTATTTTGGCCATAGTCAGCATTCTTCTTTAACAATATCATTAAGTATATACTAAAACTGATTATTTTATGTGTCCTTAAAAAATTTTCAAAGCAAGATCAGGACTTATGTGTGAATCGCACCAAACCAATTAGAATAGGAATTTATTTTCAAGGGCATTTTTAAAATATTATTCTTATAAGTACTAACAATCAAACTGAAAGAATAGAGCAAAAAGAGTAAAAACAAAAATCAAAGAACAGTTTCAAGTCCCTTAATTTATGACAGAACAGGCAACATTTTCAAGGTTAAGAAATAAAGCTTGAGTTTGAATAAAACAGATAGCAGTCTTCTATACCATGATATTGACCAAAGTCAGCAAGTTAGCAAGTGTTATCTTCCAGATGTGTCTTAAGCATACCCCTGGCTTAAGCCTTTAAAATGGTACAATAACAGCAGAATTTGTTAGTAACACAGCAGATATTTTCCAGCTTCATCCTTTCACATTTAATCGTAATTCAGTACTCGTCTATTGTCATGTTATGTTTTACTTCAGCACTCATCTTAAGCTCTACATCTATCTGATCCCATTTGTAGTTCACCCTTAATTATTTATTTAACAGGTTAACCCTTGGTGTAATATCAAGATCCACTGCAACCAATTTTAGTTTTTGAGTTTCTTTTTTCAGCAGTTTTACCTATTTGAAAAGATTGTTATTCTTAAAATTTTTTCCTTTTTTAAAGAACTTACAAAGAAAAAAAAATTTATTATTTTTTTAAAAACCAACGAAAATTTATTATGTTATTTTGCAATTATGTTTATTAAATAAATAAACAAAAGATATGTCATGGGTTTTTAGAGGTCTTATTTTCCTTTATTTTTAAACATTTGCTATTTTATTATTCCCAAGAATTATTTCATTATTACAAAAGATTATTCATCAGTTATTCAAAAAATAAAATAAAACCAACAGAGCTGTTGAAAAGGGTGATTTAATAGTGAAATAAATATCATTATTCAGTTTTAATACATGAACAAAAATACTGTGCTATATTTCAAGAAAAGGATTAGACACCATCTCTATAGTCTACTTTTATCTTTCCCTGAACAGTTGAAAATTCAATTTATAAATTTTGGCCCTTAATAGCAAAGGGAACAAAACAGGGAAATATACTTCACATTCATTAGACAAATATGAATACAAACAAGATTCCAAAACTGAGGGTGAAATTTAACAGAAAACCATAATAAGCAGCAGGTCGTGAATTTTCCATTGACCTTATCACCAAGAACTGGTACAAGAAAAATCTCTCTCTCTAAGGGCAAAAGGGAAATATGAAAAAAAAGGAAAAATTCTCAACCATTTCAACAGAAAGAATTTTTATCTTGCAGTATTTTCCAACAAGAACCTGCAATGTTCCATTTTATTTAAAGGATATAAAATATTTGAATTTGACACCAAAAAAAGCTTTGCAACATCGAAATTATATTAAAATTCCTACTACAGCTCCCCTTCTCTCTGTAGTCTCACTTCCATAATTATTTATAATATGACTTAAAAAGATAAGAAAAAGAGACCTTTACTGGCCCAAAGTGGCAAATGACTTTTCTGGTTTACATCCTATTTATACATGTCTACTTTCTTCTGAATATCTTCATACAAAACAGCAATGAAAATACTGGGGTGGAGTGGTATAGGTGGGGAGAATAAGGTTAACAGCAGCTAGCAGACACTTCTTTCAAGGTTGGCCCTAACACTGTAATATGTCACATTTTAATCAGTTATAAAATTCTTCTCTCTCTCTCTTTTTTAATGTAGAAGTAATAATAAAGACTCAAAGACTTTACTGAAATACACATATGCTATAACTATAGCATCGACCTGGATTTATGAATCAAATAACACTATAATTTCAGTATTTGAAAATGAAATTTATCTGAGATTGTAGACAGCAATTCATATATAACAACTCAGGACTCTTCACATTACTCATGACATTTCATCGTTTTCAATTCTACTCTTTCTATTGTACTATATAAAAATTTTTCTGAAAAGTTACATATTTCTGATATCTTAATAAGAGTGCTTCATCAGTAGGCTAGGTCTTAATCTTTTTTTGAAATTATTTATTTGTTTATTTATTTATTTTAGTTGTAGACGGACATAATACCTTTGTTTATTTTTATGTGGTGCCAGGCCTCACACATGCTAGGCATACACTCTACCACTGAGCCACAAACCCCAGCCCCTTCCTTAATCTTATTAATCTTATTATTAACTTATTATTGATTATTATTAATTAGCTTATTATTAATCATTAATCTTATTATTAACTTCCTTAATCTTACTATTAACTTCTTTGAAAATATTCTCATTGGATTTCATTTTGAGTTATAGCTCTTGTGACCTTTTAACTATCCTAATAAACAATTAGAAAAATCATAAACTTATTTAACATAAATCACTCCTCTTCTGACATAATACCTAATCCCTTCACAATTCTCACCATTTTTCTCCAAAAAAGTGTCCAGTTTTTCAATTTTGAAAAAAATTTTAACTTTAATGGAAAATAACAATCAACATACACCACAGGTGTGATTAAGAACTGCAATGAGCACGACAGCACTATCAATCCTATTACACCTTTAACTAAGACCCTATAACTTACACAGTCATGTTGAGCTTACTGGTAAATGAAAATGCTTACCTTTTTTTGCTTATCTTACTTCAAATTAAGTACACTAAGGAAAAAAAATTTGGTAGATGCAATCACAACCTATTAAATTGAACTGATATGCAGTTAACTTGCTTTCCTACTCTAAACCTGTCTGTTTCACAATCACTGTCCATGAGAAAAGTTTTTTTTTTTTCCTTCACCTTCCCTTTTCTTCACTGGATTCATTTCAAACAATGAAGCTTTTAAGAACTTCCATTCTATCCAAAGGAAGGTGTTTAAGTGGTGAAACTCTGGAATTAATATACAGAATTAGTAACTAAGTCTAGAATTCTCTTTTTGGTAGGTGAGATTCTTAGGACAGACTGGCGCTCTTTCAAATTTTTAGTTTATTTTCACTTTAGTTTATTTCTAAAGTATTACCCTTGACTTTACTGCTTCTGCTAAACCTTCTGAAATGAAACTAAGGCAATTCAAAAAGTGTCATATTTACAGCTGAACAAACGTGCTGCTGGATAAACTCTTCTGTCACTACCACATGCTACCTCTGCATCAATTCTGTGATTTTGTATCACATCACTGACAACCAATTTCTTTTGAGTTTCATTGTGTTTTTCTTTAAATATACTGCCCTTATTCTGACCACTTCTATCAGAATTAGTTCCTCAAAACAAGATATAAAATTCCATTCTTATAATTCTATGCATGAGTTCCATGAATATCCATTTTATATTTATTACCTGCATTAAAAGGACAAGCGCAGGCACCATCTACATCTAAAGTTTGCTATACCTGCCACCTAAAATACCCATTCCTGTCTGAATACACAACCAGTGTAACTGCACATCATGCACAACAACAAAAATGGGAAGTTATACTCCATATATGTATAATATATCAAAATACATTCTACTGTCATGTATATCTAAAAAGAGCAAAAAAAAATTTTTTAATGAATGAATGGATTAGTTTAGCAAAGTTTGTTTAAAAATTGCAATGACAGTGTTGCAAATTTTCTTCAAAAAGAATGAAGGAGTGACTGAGGTCCTCATACTTTTGCTATGAAACATATATGATTTAGACATTTTAACAATGGAACCAATTCTGTATTTTTGGATAAGTCAACAGATAATTTCACTTGAACTAACTTTAAATTTTTAGAATACATCTTGTATATACTCACTGTAGAATTCTTCTTAAAAATGCATATTAAAAACAAAAGGCATTTGTAACCTCAAAAAATTTTTTTAAAAAAAGTACCCATTTTCTATTCCATAGTGCCAAGACCCTTTACTTTAACCTCTATTTAAAAAACTACAGAATTCTGCGATGTGCTTACATAAATGTATATGCTCCACCAGAGAAGAGGTTACTTGAAGCCAGAACTCAGAAAACCATTTTCCTGTCCAACTTTGTATACATGGCTTTCCTAAAAATGTACTAAGAATGTACTGCTCTTACTTTAAACAGTTGGTACCTATAAATATTTCTCATATATAGCAGAGATATGCTTTGTAAATGAGTTTAATCTTAGCTCTGCAACTTGACATATTTTATCAATTCTAACGTGTAATATTTTTTCATGTTTTATTATCCCTCAAATTAGTAAGATTCTTACACCTCAAAAGGATGTTAGGCTGTAGTTAGAAGTATTTTGAAAATCTCAGTTACATATAAATAATGTTGTGTCTTAAGACTGATCATATATAATATTGGCTTTGTACTTTTGCATTAGATATTTAATTTCACCAAACTTCAACTTCTTCTGCAGTAAAATAAGAGTCACAGTGTCTACCTAATGAGGATTAAATGTAATTATGCCTATATTTTTCCTATTACATTGCTGATAATGCTCCTAAAACAGGGTACCAGCAATAAAAATTTTAGGATTAAATAAGGCAATCCATTTTGTCGTCATTATCAGCACCGGTAACACAATCATCATTGACTTGTTAAACGGAACAGAATTTACATCAAGTTTTAAGTGGCAATTCTGAAACTCCACCTCTTTGTGGTACACTGGTAGTAATTTCTACAATATAGATTCATTAAGTTGCCAGAATACATTCTGATTACAGAAAAAAAACAAACAAACTATGTCTTGAAAAGACTGATCTTCCTAGTGATAAACATTCAAAGAAAAATTACCATATCTATGAAAGGAAATAAAGTGGTAAAAATAAGAGATGAGAAAACACTCTATTAATACCCAAATCAAACAAAAACCAATCATCCTATAAATAATGCTAATCTACATAATACGAACAGCAATAACTCCTAAGACCACAAGATGGGGTTATGAACCTTTTGAGGCTGTTGCTGTTCCAGGAGCTGCTGTCTGAGATGTTCAAGGTTTTGTTGTTGTAGTTGTTCTGCTATCTGATGAAAAATGGAATTGTTCACAGATTCTGAAACATGAGAACTAAAAGGAAAGTAGAAATATATTTTAAAATCCACTAAAGATAATATGATAATTACTATTTTTTCAAAGGAAACAAAAGCCAACTCAAGAAATCATATTCTATTATAATGTTTGCTTCTAAAATATTAACACAAAAAAGAGAATACCCCAGAATATTAATATGAAGATAAATAAATTCAATAGTATTTTAATGGGTCTGTAACATGTCAGAGATGCTCGGTTGAAGATTTCAGGCTATTAAATACATATACATTAGTGATTTTAAAATAAATCTCAATAAAACACTTTTATAAACAATTTAATGTATTTAAACAATGTCATTTCAACTTCTTCTCTAACTATGAGATAGTGTGGAACATGCTACATCAATCAGTATGTGTAAAACTTAGAATTATAATTGACCATATAAAATTTATATACTTAGAAATGCATACCTGTTATTTATTAGGTATGTTGACACAAATGGTATTTAGACAAGAGAAAACAATTTCAACTATGCTCTGGGAAATGCACACTTGGAAGAACCTGGAATTCTGGGTTCCATAAGGTAAGAAATGAACTAAAAATTCCCCCCAAGGGCTAGCAGGATTTTGAGAACTTTTGAAACCATTGTGGGGGTTGAAGGGTGGGCCACCTTCACCTGGAGCAAATAAACTTAACAAGAAGAACAACAGCTACCTTCAAATACTGAAAGACTAAATCTCAAAATACAATGGAGCAAATTCGTCTCCACGCTTTAAAAAGCAAATCCTGAATCAGTGTGGAAAATAAACGGAATTTAGTTCAAGAAAAGAACATGTAATAACATGTTAAATTAAATGTTAAATTAATTAAATTCTCATTTCTGAAAGGCATTAACACTGGATATTTAAACTATCAGGACTGTTAAGGATATTCTTATATTTTTCTTAGGACACTGATTTACATGATGGGGATTGAAACCAAGGGTGCTCTACCACTAAGCTACATCCTTAGCTCTTTTTACTTTTTATTTTGAGGCAGAGTTTCCTAAGTTGCCCAGGATGGCCTTAAACTTTAACTTCTCCTGCCTAAGCCTCCTAAGCAGCTAGGATTATAGGCATGTGCCATCACATCAAGCAATCTATATAATTTCAAATGTTCCTTCAATTTTTATAATTTATAATCAAAACTGTTAATTTTCTCAACGGCCCACAACATCAATTCTTATTTCTGATTAGTCTGATGCACTTCCTAGAAGCAGATTTGGCAGTAGAAGAAAGCATCTGTCCTTGTATTGAAAATATTCTTAAATTTAAGTTAAATTAAACAAATAGATGTAAAAACATCACAATTAGCTTTACTCTTTTATTTATCTTTATTTATTTATTTTTATGTGGTGCTAAGGATCGAACCCAGTGCCTTACACATGCTAGGCGAGCACTCTACCACTGATCCACAACCCCAGCCCATAGTTTTACTCTTATTTATCATTTTTCCTATTAAAAAAATTTTGACATAGTACAACTATTTGCAAAACTTGAAAAAGAGTACAAATAATCCAGGGAGACAACAAAACAGCAATTCTGCCACCTTTCTGTATGTAAGAATTTAATAGCCTGACATAACAATCCTAATTGAGTCAAAGTATACTTAGTAGATGGTAACATCCTACCCAATATTTACAAAAGTCACAGAAAAAGAAAAATATAATTCTTACAGTTGAGGTGTTGGAATTTCCTTTTTGGGTTCTTCACTATGCTCAGAATCGTCCCCAAAATCAAACCTATCCATCAACTTCTGGTGGGAGGGGAGCATGACAGGGAAAAAGAGACAAATTAAAGTGTTTTACATAAATATTTAAATGTTACTTATATCCCATTAGTTTATCTCTTCATTTAATATGTTTTATGTCATTGTATACTATACTCTTTCTAGAGTGTGAGCACCATGACATACATAGTAAGTAGTCCTCTTTATTCTGCCAGTTTCAGTTATCCAGTCAACAGCAGCCTATTGTCTTGGTTTGTTCATGAGACCATAGTCACATAATTTTCATTATGTTAATGATGTGCCTAATGTATACAATGTTATTAATGTTAATTAAGCAGACGTTAATTACTATGCCTAATTTATAAATTAAATTTCATTGCAAGTATGCACATACAGGAAGAATGTCCTGTGCATGTATGTGCGTGCGTGTGTGTGAGTGTGTGTGTGTACAATTTGGTACTATCCACAGTTTTAGGTACCCAGCAGAGGTCCTGGAATGTATTCCAGAGGACTAGGGAGATCTACTGTATTGTCTTAAATAACAAAACAAATTATAAAATAGACAATATAATCACTGACACTAATCTTACATAAGACTAAGGATTAAAATAATGAAGTGGTCTGCCATGTCAATACAGCTTGGTAACACATAGAAGCATAAACAATGAATCTATCCCTTGATAGAACATGAAGATCCTCATCTTCATATGTTCTGTCACCTTCTGAATATTCAACTTAAAGGCTTTTTATGTGGGCAAGCTATTTAGATTAAGTAAGACTCGGAAGCTGCTGCCTCAATGGAAAATACACTGCCCATTTATCTTTAGTTTAAAAAAAGTATTTTAAACATCTGAAGAGGAATTTTTAAAGTCTAAATCTTTTTTAAATTTAATATATTTTCTACAGTACAGTGTATATCGACAGAATATGATAAAACACAATTTATAGAATCCACATGACACTTCACACAATTTAACACTGCCTATTGAATACATCCAATATTTTAATGACTACCTTGTTGAAAGGGACTCCCTGATCCAAGGGAGTGAGCGTGTTGGCTGCTGCAGCTGCAGCTGTAAGCTGTGCTGTGAGAGCCTGCAATTGAACCACAAGACCAGCATCCAGGGCCTGGAGGATGGAAGGCTGCGGTTTCTGCTGCTGTATCTGTAAGGTTTGTATTAACTGTTGAAGCTAGAGGGAAAATAATTATTATAAAACAGTTGTTGGAATTTACTCATAAGAGTGCCCATGTAAAACTTTTAGTTAATAAATTTAATCATTCTACAATCTTAGGCAATCAAAAAAAGTCTTTCCTAGTATGCACATACAACAGTCCTTAGTAAGTCTGTCTTCTAGGAAGTCAGGAAATTTTAAATAAAATAAAGCACTTATACCATAACAACCAGAAAAGGGACTCCTGACAAGATAAATAATACTTTTCACTATGCTTCTCACCCCTTCTTCAATTAACTCCATGAAGGGATAAGCACTGACAACAGCAGAGCTTTTGTTATCATTCAGACATATCATCTAAGAACATATCCTAAAAGGAGAGTAATTAAGAAATTTATTCTTACAGCCAACTTTGAGACTAAAAAACAAGTTATTAACAATGAAGAGTGTCAAGTACAGTAAAAAGAAACCCACTTCCCACTATTTACTCACCTTTGCTAAAAAACTTGTAAGATCCATAAATAAGAAATCCCTACATTCATCACAGAAATAATACATAATTGAGTTCTAAATCTGTAATAGGCACATTGGTGCAGTTGGAGAGGAAGAGTAACTTCTACCACATGGTAGAACTATGATTAACAATTAATTATTTTAAATACCCATTAGAGATTTTTAACATTCCCAACAAAAAGAAATTTAAAAAAGGACTGAGATAATAGATATGTCAATTACCCTGAACTGATCATTACACATTATATACATACATATATACACATACATAACCTGTAAGTATGCAAAATTACTACGTGTCAATTAAAAATGAAAATCATTTTGAAAAAGCCCTAAACCTGAAGTATATATGAAAATTATCAATTTATATTTGAAAAAGAGAACAGCAAACTGATTGTCAAGACATCTGTATTCCCTTAAGTTCAACTTTTAGTATGAGAAAGTACAAATAACATGCAAGATGACAGTAAATAAAATAATTCATGTATATTCTAAAATAGCAACATTAGGGTACAAACTAGAACCATTTAACCACCAAGCATCTTCTTTAAAACTACTATTGGGACAAAAAAGAAAATGCAACACTACATGGGAGTTAACTAACTGTACCCCAGAAGCTCCAGAATGACTAAGACCAATAAATACATACAAGATATAAATTCTCCACATTACTGTGGTGAAGAAAGTAAGGAAAAGGACAACGAGAATAGAAAGGAAAATAAAAAAATACCATATTTATCCTTTATACATTTTAACTATTCCTTTTGACATCGCCATTTTTCCCAGCCACACTGTTATTCTTTTAGTCACCCAAATTCAAAATTACCTCAGCATTTTTTCCCTCTATTGCCATCACTGTTGTGTCAATATCTTCATTACCTGTGTGTAATTAACCCTCCTTGTACTATTTTCTTTGGAAAGCAATAAAAATAACTCTATATTTCTGGAAAATTTATATAAAAAAATATTTACTTGGTAGCATCTTTTAAAATGAGAACATGCTTTATAAACTATTGTAAAGGGATTACCACAAAATAATTTTATCATTTCAGCTAATACTGGTCCATAATCAGTTTCCCAAATGTCTCAAAAATGTAGAAACTCTTGTGTGCATGTATCAATATGTAATAATGAATCCCACCATTATGTATAATTATAATGCACCAATAAAAAATATTTTTTAAAATATGCAGAAACTGGGCAGGGGTTGTAGATCAGTGGTGGAGCAGTTGCCTAGCACATGTGAGGCACTGGGTTCAATTCCTCCAGACCACATTAAAAAAGGCACTGTGTCTGTCTACAATTTAAAAAATGCAGAAACTGTATCCAGTCTAAGACTACTCATTGAGTTGATTTTTATACTTTTAAAAAGACTGGACAGGCCTCACATTTTTGAGCTTATCTTTTCAGAGAATTCACAATCTTAATATTTTCCCCATAGTCATTACCTCTCTTTCAATATCACTACTACTAAAAGGAAGATATTCCCTATCTCTAGACTTCTCTCCATCTTATTTAAGATACTAATCAGATCATTTGGCTTCAGTATACAGATCTATCCATTCCCCATTGCTCAGTAAATGAATTGTCATTTCTCAATTTGCTTTCTATGGTTTTCAAAACCAACTCTGTTATACCTCTGTCATTAATTCCACAAAAATATACTGAATACCTACTATCATCTAGACATAGTGGAAAAAAAACAATAGACAAAAATCCTAGGCCTATACAACATACATAGTACAGTAGGAAGAGATGAAGTAACATCATCATCCAAAAAAATAAATGAATTATATAATGTCATATAAGGTAGTAAATGCTAAGGAAGGAAATAAAGGTGAGAGGCAAAGTAAAAAAGATGAAAAGTCCAGTTTATGATATTAAACACCAGTCACTGAAGGTCTTATTACGATGACATTTAAACAACTTGCGGGAGAATGAAACCATATGAATATACGAGGAAAGACAGTTTTCAGTATAGGAATCACCAAGTACAAATATCTTGAGGCAGGATTATAAGTAGTATAGGTAAGGAATGGCAGAAAGGCAGGTGTGGCTAGAATGGAACAAATCAGAGGGAAAAAGAAGTAATGAAAGAAACAAATGATAACACTAAGGAGGGGTCAATATAAACAAAACACTTATCTCTAATTTAGAGAAAATGATGGATTGGTGATGAAAATAGAAGGAAACAAGAAATCAAGTTGAGAACATAAAAAGGTTAGTGAAGTGACTGTTACAGCTTTTACTGAGTCAAACAGGTAGCTACTGAGCTCCCAAGAAAGACTGTAGTGGAGCAAGGGTGAAAGCCCCATAAGAGGCAGCTGCAACAAAACAGATAATAATGTAGCTCAAGACTAGTAATGAGGTAGTGAGAGTCAATGGATTCAGAATATAAGTAGACGATTTCTTTCTTTCTAGGGCCTCACACATGCTAGGCAAGCTCTCTAACACTGAATTATATCCCCAGTTATATAAGACTTAAGACATCAGATATGATGAATGAAAGAAATGAATCAAGGATAAGTCACTTTGAATCTGATGGGCTCCATGTTTTTGAGCTCAAGAAAAAGAAGCATTTCTGAATTGATCTCTCAATGCAAAAAATAAAGCAAGAAACTGGAAGGATACTTATCTCCAACTAATATGAGAAATATGCAGGTGGAGAAGGTTTTGTTTGAAAGACTGAGAATCCATCTTTTACTCAGTAGTCTCTCTGTTTACATAACTCAACCTCGGCATCTCTTTCTTACCTATACTTTAAAAACAAACTGTCATTTGTACAAAAGAACTTTCCCTGAAACAATTATTTAAGCCAAGGCGTTATCTCTAATTTTGAATTTCCAAAGTTTTTTATTTTTCTCAGGATTGTTATTCATTTTCCATTTTAATTATATTCATGCATTCCAATTATCTATTAGACTTTAGGCTTCAAGAGGCCGAAGAATATGTCTTGTTTATCTTGAATACCCTACTGCAAAGCCCAGTAACTCAAACACTGTGAGTGCTATCACTGCATCTAGATAGTGCAGTAAGAAAAATATACAGGACATAGGAACTTCAAGCAAAGATACAGAATTACCATTAGTTGCAAATAATATGATTTAACTGGAAAATGAAATAAATTGAAAATAGAAATTAGACTGGCACTAGAAACAAAAATCTAATCTACTCAAATATATTTACAGAAACCTACAAACTATGAAGAAACTACATTTAATAAGTTACAAAACCTAAGATATGAACAATAAAGTATAAATAACTAAATATTGTAAAGATATCTCTCCCACACACACACCTCAAATCAATGGATAAACATAGCATGATTCTCCTCTACTCCTAACAGTAGAGCCACAATACAACACACTATTTCCCATCTTCAAGATGTTGACACATGCAATTCTCTCTGCTTCCTATCATCCCATCCTGCTAGGACTATTCTCAAAAGTCTCAATTCAAATACCAGTTCCTCAAAGCACATCTTCTGTGGCATCCTTTCTCTAGTTTTCACCCCTAGCCCAACTTGGTAACTATATCCACTTAACCTTTTCTAAGACAATTATGACTACCTAAAGTAATTTTGTCATTTTTTTTATTGTCTGTCTCCCCTAAGACACCTATCCCTAAGATAAAAGAGCACCCCATCCATTTTGCAACTGGGGTTGCAATAGCACCTAATAATGTTTGGCATAAACTAGTGCTAAAAATTAGGATTCTGCCAAACAATTTTTTAATAAAATATTTATTTATTTAGAGTGGGGTACTGGGTATTGAACTCAAGGTTGCTTTACCACTAAGTTACATCCCCAGACCCTTTTATTTTTTTACTTTGAGACAGAGTCTCAATAAGTTGACAAGCCTGGCCTCAAACGTGCAATCCCTCCTGCCTCGGCCTCCCAGGTCACTGAAATTAAAGGCATGTTTCACCATTCCTGGCATAAAAATTTTTAATGACATGAGAGTAACTGTGATGAATTACTAAATGAAAAGTGGAAGCTATATATAGAGTAACTTATATAGTGATTCTATTTTCAGAAAACTAAAAAAATACTTATCTCTAGGTGGTATATTATAAAACAGTACATTAGGAAAATAATGAATTATACATCGTTCTCAACGTAAGAAAAAGCCTGCTCACCTGTTGGCCTTGAGGACTTTGTAAGATCTGAGCAACCGCAGCAAGTGTATCTGTATTTGTTATCTGAGATACCCATGGATCAGGAAGGCCTTGGACCACATTAGCTGGAGTAACAGGTGTCACAGGTGTTCCTTTTTAAAAAGACATCACACAGCCCACCAAATACAGAAGTAAATAAATACGACTTGAAAAAGTTGAGGAATTTGTTCTATTACTTTTATAAAACATAGACAAATGTATATCAATATTTTTATTTTATTGTCAGCATTTAGAAAAACCATTTTAAAATCCTTCATGTAATTAGGTTTAAAAAAAAAAAAAAAAAACAACCAAAGGCATTGTTTATACTTCTCCTCAGTGAACTAAGATAGTACTTTAATAAAGTGTACGTAGCATCATTAAAAACTGAGCTAAGAGTTTAACGAAGCTTACTTAGGAGCCATTAAAAACATTAATTATGAAGGGGCTGAGGTTGTGGCTCAATGGTAAAGCACTCGTTTAGCACGTGCGAGCCCTGGGTTCAATCCTCAGCACCACATTAAAAAAAAAAAATTAAATAAAGTATTGTGTTCAACTACTTCAAAATAAATAAATAAATAAAAACATTAGAAGACATTCAACAACATAAGAAATAAGAAAAATACAATTTTGATGGAAACAGAACTTATAAAACTATTTTTTTCAATAAATGCACAAAAACTAAATGTGAATGAAAATGTTACCAAATTCAATTCTTGGAATTGTGATAAAAATTTTTAAATGTCATTTAAATACCCTAAGAAAACATGATTTTGAGATTATTATTAAAGCATTCTTGGCATTATCAAACAATTTAAGGTTCTTTGTAAAGATTAAGTTAACCTCATTTCCTGTAAATATAAAGTTGATTTATATGCCAAGTGTTAAGAGGTTACAGACAAACCAAATAATCTGGAAAAACCTAAATGACACACTCATTTTCCAAAGTTCATTATATTTATGTTTCTTGGGATTAAAAAAAAAAAAAAAAAAAAGCTTTCAGAATGAGAGAATTATACAGAAACAACCAAGGCTGGCACACGCCTGTAATCCCAGGGACTCAGAAGGCTAAAGCAGGAGGATCACAAATTTGAGGCCAGCCTCAGCAACTTAAAAGGACTGGACGAAATGGTACACACCTGTAACCCAGTAATTCAAGTGGCTGAGGCAGAAAAATCACAAATTCAAAGGTATCCTCAACAATTTAGCGAGGCCCTGAACAACTTAGCAAGACCTAGTCTCAAAATAAAAAATGAAAAAAGCTAGGGAGACAGGGGATGTGGCTCAATGATAGAGCACTCCTAGGTTCAATCCTACTTTAAAACACACACACACACACACACAAATACATGGTTTTATTTTTCCTTTGAATTATATTTTCTTTCAATTATCTAATATAGCATCACAATTTTCCAATGGTGTAGAATTGTTATTGTACATATGAATAACCATGTGAAAATATGAGAATATTTAGAAATCAAATCTATATTGTAGCAATATACCTGGGGTGTTGCTCATAGCAGCAGTAGTACTGGCCAAAACAGGTGTGACAACTGGAGGAGGAATCCCTGCTGCCATATCCAAAAGCGGTTGAATAATCTCACTCTTAAATACATTATTCTTCTGCCATAAGTTTAAAACTCTCACTATTTTACTCTAGAGAAAAAAACAAATACGACATTTTTATTTTTTGCTTTCAAAACTTTAGTATAATCATTTCATAAGGGCTTTTAGGGTGCTGGATGGGAAGAAGAGAAGAAAACACGTCTGGGGTACTTTCTACCACTGAAAATTTGTTTCTACCATTTTGCATTTGCTAATCTTATCTCAGTTGAAAGGGGAAAACATTAGTTTTAACAGACATACAATATAAATGAAAGCTACACTTAGCTGAAGGCAGACATGACAACTAGTCTCTGTCTACCAATTCTAATGAGCTTAATTTAATACTATGGTTGCCTATAGAACTGTATTAAGTATTCCAAACAGAGTTAGGATTCATCTCAGTACTAAATTTAAAGTTAATTTTAACTTTGTCTCATAAAATGTTTATCTTTTGAACAAATAAGTAACTTCAGGACAAAGTCCTTTACTAATGTGACTCTTACAAATTTTCATTTTAAAAACTATTTAAATATAGGAGAGGGCATTTCTTCGTATAAGAATTTAACCAAGGGCTGGGGATGTAAGCTCACTAATGGAGACATGCATAGCATGCATGAAGCCCTGAGTTCGATCCTGCCATCAGAAGAAAAAAAAAACCAAAAACATATTTTTAACAAAATTAATCCTTTCTTTCAGCACCACATAAAAATAAAATAAAGATACTGTGTCCACTTAAAACTAAAAAATATAAAAAAGAGAATGTCTCAAGATATACTACAAGATATTTCTAAGCACCTTGTCATAAATTCTACTTCCCTGTTGATGCTTTAAACCAGAGACATACACACTTCTGTCTGAACAGAATGTGAAATATAACCTCTCTTCACTCTCCACCTTCCCCCTTCATTATTCTTCCCTACTCTCCCCTTGTTGCACAATGCCAATCCCATAACAGCATTACTTAACGTAGCTCACAGAATGTTAAATACCATTATAAATGAATAATACTCTACATTTATTTATTTCACTTACCATAATCGGAAAAGTCTTTACCATTCTATTAAAAAAAAAAAAGCCTGCTTGCTACTAACAAGCAGATTTACATATCTGAACCATCTGAGTAATTTTCTTTTTCTCTTTCTCGTAGGCCCTTTAATAGCAGCATTGAATCCAATTTACTCTTACTCCCCCTAAAGATCCTCAGCATTGCCCAACTCAACCCACTTCAAATACATACATACACAGATATCTCAAATTTTTGTTTTAATCTCACCCTTTTCTAGATCCCTTATGTATGAGTACTTCATATTTTTGGTAAGGCTCCATCAATCATATAACATTCATGTAGATGTTATAAAATTCATGAAATACATGCTATCTACATAACCTTTCTCATTAACCTTGGTCTTAAGCCAAAAGTGTCAATTAAAGAAAATATATATGTTAAACCCTCAGTTCCCTTATCTATAAAAATGAGACTGTATACCATAAGTATTCTTGGGTTTCTTTTCTCAATTTCAAATTGTATCAAACTGTTTAGGTTGACCAGTATTTTGAAGGTCTTGAAAGTCTCAACCACTCCCAATGTGAACATCTTGGCAGAGAGCTATATCTTACTTACTACTTATAGTTCTTCTTATAGCAACACTATAAAATGGCACTTCACTTTAATTATGCATACCCTAATCTTGCTCCGAAAGAGATTAAGTGAAATTTCATTCAGTTGTAAAATTCTGTTTAATTGTATTGTTGCCTATCTCCTGTTATATTCTGAGTATTATAAACACAGAACCTATAAAGATAGGTATTACCAACTTCTATTTCTTGGATAATTCTGAAGTCTAAAAGCATAATTAACAGTATTTAGAGAAAACTTGATAATCAGAAAAATTTCTATATATCTCCATTGATTATGTGATAATTTGCCCAAAAGCTTCAGATTTACACAAGCACAACAACATGCCCAATTAAGAAGAATGTCTCTCAGCCTGGATTTGTGGCTCAGTGGTAGAGTGTTCGCCTAGCACCCCTGAGGCACTGGGTTCGATCCTCAGTACCACATAAAAATAAAATAAAGATACTGTGTCCACTTAAAACTAAAAAATATAAAAAAAAAAGAGAAAGTCAAGATATTCTAGAATGTTTTTTTTAAAGTAACATCAACTGGCCTGTTTTTCTTAAAACCTTGCTTAATGAAATACAAATATTTCACACAGAATATACACTTAATCACCATTTCATTGATACTGACACTGAACAATTTGATTCACAACTTTTTAAACACATAAAAGTTTATTGTAAACAATAACCAAGTACAAATTACTACTTGGTACAAATTATTAAATTATTGTGGGACTCCTTAATTAGGGGGAAAAAAGAGGTCATTGATATGTATTCAAAAATAGCACTAATTAAATGAATACATTTTATAACAGTAACAGACCAATTTTCAGAATAAAGATCTGGTTTATTTTTAAGTTCCTCATACTATTATGTTTATATATTTTTAAATTATGTCCAAATCACATTAATATGCAAATTTTTCAAATCAAACATAAAAAAACATAACAACAAGAAGGGCGCAGTGGGTGCCTGACTATAATCCTAGCGGTCTGGAGGCTAGGGCAGGAAGATCACAAATTCAAAGTAAGCAAGACAGCAAGACCCAGCAATTAGGTGACTCTCTCAAAATATAAAAGGGGCAGTGGGGTGTTGGGGATGCAGCTCAGCAGTAAAGTTGGTACTAGATCAACCCCGAGCACAAAAAAAAGAAAATTACACAACAAATGTTTAATAACTTCAGATTTGATGACTACTTCTTTATAAAAGATGGGCACTTAGAAAGTTCTGTGCCTTACACAAGAATTAACCCCAGTTTCTAAGACATTTACCCATCATGTTATTCAAAATAACTAGTACCTAACAACTATCATTCTAAAAATCTACATACATACACATAATGCCCCTCATTTATTATCGAAATTACAGCATTAATATAATCTTACTTCCTACAGTTTTAAAAAACAAAAAGGCCCTATTCCATAAACACTTATAAAATAAGAGATATTACATTATGAGATACACAAATTGAAGACTGATTTGTTCATTGTAACTGACAGAAATCAAAGTCCAAATAATGAAATTTCTAAGTCAAGATGTTGGGTTACTTTTTAAAATGCTGATATAAAATTTCAAAATGCTAATTTATCAGATGGGATTGCAAAGTGCCTATTTTAACAGTCAATTAACGTGGGCCACTTAAAATCTTAAACATTCTTTCAGCCTTTCTAAGTATCGAAGTATCAAAATTAAAAAAATTAACTGTCAAGAAGTTATATCCAAAAATAGTTCACTAAAAATACAACATAATAAATTTACCTGTTATCTATTCATTATAACAAGGTTTTCTTCTTCCAGCTCAATATTCTATTTTAGTTATTAAAAATAAAACTACCTATAATGATAGTTTATTCATAACTGTTAAATCCATGTGACTGATATCAGTATACCTGGGTATTTGTGATGGCAACACTATTATTTTGTACTGCCTATTTATTGTGTAAAGTAACCTATGAAATACTGTCATATTTTATATGTAAATGTCCTTTTTAAATAAATAAAACTACCTAGAAATGAGTTCCATTAGTCTTCACCCATTCTTACCTTTTGCTAACTAATCAACATTGCATTCAACCCTGTCAAAACCCACACCTAAATGTCCAAATCAGCATCAAAATGAGTAACCTAAAATTTAAGGGCAAATATAAACAACTCTTCTTTATTCTGCCTTTGGGTCCAAAACTCTTGTTACTTGTTAATTACAAAATATGTACATATTCAGATTTCAAAGATTTAATAGTAATGGTTTCTAACACTTTTAATAAAATTGTACCATAACAAAACAATTTTGATATACAATTACTTTCTATGAATTACTTGGCAAAACCATTTTCCATGAACAATGAAAAGGAAAATATCAACTCAAACATCATAATCCTAAAATAGTCCTAGATTTGAATAAGTGCTTAATATAATTCCAAAAGATATTTTAGCCAATTTCTTTAAATAAATTAAAACCTAGCAAAAATCAACATTTTTTCACTCTTCAAGGAATTCTAAGAACAAAAAATGAATGTGGATATTGTAATGATTAAATATTTGAATTTAGAATAATCTAAACACCAAACAAAACAGCACCATACCTTGTCATCCCCAGGACAACGATATAAATTCTGAAAAGTGCTAATGATGTTATTACTAAATCGGGGTGCGAACACATCCTTTTCTTGACCAAACTGATGTCGGGATTGTCTCACAATGGAGTCAATAACATAAAGTCCAGGTACCTTGTATTCTGGTTTACACTGATGAGAAAAAGAGTGGGAGGGGAAGAAAACAAAGGTAAAAATCATCATAAATCCTATAGAAATACATAAACACTGCTCATGCTGTAATGAATATTCAAACACTGAGTATTCCACACCATATGTCTCTGGAATGGCATTTTAAAGAATCTACTTTGGCTATGTTCCTCATTCAGTTCAACTGTCAGTCATCCAAGTTCCAAAATAGTACTGCATAACTGATTTCAATGAAAAAAAAATTATAAATAAGGTATTGTTATGATATTTAAATTTGCATAATGATTTTGAAAAGCTACGGAAAGAAAAAGCAAATTAAGGACAGGACTCTAAAAAATTTATTGCCTACGTGTATTAGGATTTCAATATAAAACACATAACAAAGGGTTTCTAGGGCTGGGGATGTGGCTCAAGCGGTAGTGCGCTCGCCGGGCATGCACCACATACAAATAAAGATGTTGTCTCTGCTGAAAACTAAAAAATAAACATTAAAAAATTCTCTCTCTCTCTCTCGAAAAAAAAAAAAAAGGTTTCTATACTAATTCAAAAACAAACAACAAATGGCAAGTTATACCATTCTAAATACAAGGAACCCAAAGTTTCAAACGTTTTTCAAACACCCCAACTATAAGAGATAAGACATTACCATTATAATTCTGGGAATTTATCCTATGAAAACATTTTTCAATAACTCTCCTGGGTTATTTCTCAATCATATTGTGAAATTATAAGTCCCCGACTTTTTAACTACAGGCTTTTTTGGCCTACAGTAAGTAAGTCAACACAATGAAGAATCCTTTTTTAAAAAAAAAAAAAACCTGAAGCTTACTTCTCCTATTTTTGTTTCCATACCAAAAACATAAAAAAAGACTGCCTATCAGCATATATTGGAATAAAAGAAAATTATGGTTACAGAGCAAGTTTGTTTTTTAGTAGTATAAAAGCTTAAATATTTTCACCTAAAGTTATTTTCTGGCACATATGGCATTAAAACAAAACTGTATTAGGAGAATGTTCTTGGAAATCTGAGTATCATCACTGATACAAGAATCCCCAACCCAGGCTGGGGCTGTAGTTCAGTGGCAAAGTACTTGCCTAGCTGGGTTTGATCCTTAGCACCACATAAAAATAAGTAAATAAATAAAATAAAGGCTTCCTGACAATCTACAACTACCAAAAAAAATTTAAAAAGAAAAAGAAAAACCCAAACCCATCCCTAACACACACACACACACACACACACACACACACACACACACAGTTTCTAACTGGGATTTTCAACCAAAACAATGATTAATTTCATTCTTCAAAAAGGCTAGGTGGCATTTAGTTTGTTCCTTAAAACCCTTTTTAAGAACCTATCTAGTAAGGGTCTTTATTAAGCTGGAAAAAATGCAGAGAACTTTAACTGTAATTCAAAGAGTCTGTTAGGAGAGATGTGGGCTATTACATGCTTGAAGTATTTCATAAAAGAGCAATAAATTAGTGTTTGGACATTAAAGACTTAGAGTAAACTGAAGGATCAAAAAACTTTGTTTTAAAGTTTCTGTTTTTAAATGTCTCAAGGAGTTGAGGCTTTCCCTCATGTCCAAAAAACTGACTTATTTTTCTTCACTTTATCCATCTAGCCAAGGATAACTTCCTTTCACTATCATACATTCAAAGAATTAACTATCTACCCTAGCTAACAATACCCGTCAGTAAATAAAACTTTCTAAACTTAATGAAAACCAGAACATCCACTTTGGTAAATACACACACACACACACACACACACTATTCCCCAGTGCTAGAAACACAGATCAGTGCTTAATAATTATTTACTGACTGGCATTTAAACTTTCCCAAAGGCAGAAAACAATCTTATACATAATGAATTATTTTACACAAATGATTATCTTGAGTAAGACTGAACAGAACTTATGCTGATAAGAGTTTTAAAAATTAATGTATGAGTAATGCAATAATTAATGTGGTGTCTTTTAAAAAAATTAGTATCCAAACATCATTACTATGTTGAGGTTTTTTTTTAATATCTTTATTTTGTTTATTTTTATGTGGTGCTGGGGATCGAACTCAGTGCCTCACATGTGCAAGGCAAGCGCGCTCTGCCGCTGAGCCACAACCCCAGTCCCAAATGTGGTTGTCTTTTTTAATCTTTTCCTTTTATTTATACCAAAAATTCTGACCATAAACTTAATTCAGAATAATGATGAGTGTGTGCTATAAACAATTTCCTTTCATGGCCATCTGTGAAGATTCTAAAGCTTCAAAAATATATTAGCAGATTTATTAGTGAATAGTAACACCTAAAGAAAAACATTCTTTCTTCCACAGTTACCTTCGGACATACTCTATACCAACATGTTGTGTCTCAGAATTTTTTATACTACTGCTTTGGATATTTTTCCACATAAGAGGGCAGAAAAACAATTTAAGTACAATTTAATATTTAAATATTAATAACTTTAAATAACCATAGCAAATTAAGACAAAGAAATATGAAATGTTGTTCAAATTTTTATTATATTAGACTGAAAACAAGAATTTCTAAGTCTCTCCAATGGCAGGGCATGTTATATTTTTACTCTTGAAATAATTTTTTAAAAACTGTATCATGCAAAATATTTACAGATATACCATCTTCAAACAATATTCTAATAATTTCCAATTTCCCATGCTTCAGAGAAAGTCACTTAGAAAAAGAAAGGGAAGAATGACTAGAGAGAATGCACCTTTAAATATACTTGTGTGATTTTCATGCTGCCATCCAAATTCGCATCTGCTGCTATCATCAGGCAGAGTTGTTTAAAAAGAACTCTCCAGGCCAGTTGGACTACACATGAATCCTATTAGAATTTGTGCTGCCACTTTCAACTACTAAAAGTTGAATGTAAAAACAGAGCTGGAACAGTAAAAAAATACAGGAGTAAGGGGCTATACCTGCAAAACACTGCATGATGCTGATGGTAGCCATGAAAGAGGATTCCCAGGATACAGTCATGCCTGAAACCATGAGTGATTTTTCTTTCCTCTGTACATTGAAAAGTTTGGCTTGTGAGCTGCCAACATTTAGTGGCGCTAGCAGCAAAATTCCATTATTTCTAGCTTGTATAGTAAACAAAGATTCTTAAATCACAGAGTAGACTAGGTGGGAGCTGCAATGAAAATAGCTTTTTCCTTGGCTTAAAAATATTTCCTTTGTGGGGCTGGGGCTGCAGCTCAGTGGCAGAGTACCTGTACAGCACATGTGACTCACTGTGTTCGATCCTCAACAGCAGCACATAAAAATAAATTTTAAAAAAGTATTCTGTCCATTTACAACAACAAAAAACAATTAAAAAAAAAAGACTTCCTTTGTGTCATGACACACAAATACAGTGTACTTTTCTACTTATCTTACATTAAAAAAAAAAAAAAGCTAACACATGCAAAAAGAACAATAACATTGACAGGTAACTAGCAAATGTGATCAAATTCACTAATGCTAAGAAGTGCTCCAAGAGCTTTCTAACTATTCTAGACATTCATACCAAGATTTTCTTGCTGTTTTGTTTGTTTGACCCCTGTAGGTTATTTTAGGAATCTCTACATCCTACCTCAAACACACATATATTACAAAAATAAGTATGATTTTTCAAATTATCTACCTTCCTGAAGATTCTAATATTCATACAACGTGGGCCCTAATTGCAGCTTCATCCTATTTGAGAAAAAAAAAATCATTGCTCAATCAGTGTTTTTAACATTTTGGGAGTGTTCTCTAATAAGACTCCTTGTACACTGTGGAAGTTTACCAGGTGGTTCCCTACACCTTCTGAAGCTTGTTCATAGATTTCTTCAGGTATCAGTAAAATTACATTATTAACTTTAAAATGTATCCTTGCATTATTTCTCCCACAGAATTTAAAGAGGTCAGTATTATGCCATAGGCCACATGGAAGAATTTTATAAGAATCAAATAAATTCCCTTCTGTATTTAAAATAAGCTTGCTGTTTAGGAGACAAATGACTACTTTACTGGATTATTTATCAAGTAAATTATAAATTCTGTTACACCCCCCATTCTATATGAAGCAATGGTAAAAAGAAACAAAGTTGCTTCTCTATTAAATATAAAGTTGTTTAGTAAATAATTCACTATATTATCTAATGCCTTCCAACCAGATTGCAAATACAATCAAGAGAGAGATAATGTGTCCTTCAAGTTTTCCCCAACTGAGTTTTCTAAGCAGCAAATTACTATTACTTGATGATTTAACACTGATCATTTAGATCATGATCATTTTAGCTATAAAATTTACAGTTTAATGTACTGTCAATTAAGGAACTCTAAGAAATCATGAGAAATTTATATATGTTCCTTAAGTGTTTCCTAAGATTTTGTTTCCTTTATGTAAGATAATAACTGGTTTATAGCATAAGAATTCATACTATGGGGTACCTATAAAGTCTACAAACCTAGGCTAATTAACATAATAGCTACACTATTAAAAAAAAACAACAGCAGCATGTCTCAGACTTTATGGATATCCAATATTAGTTTAGTAAAGATTCAACAGGAACTAAGCATATAATAATACTCTTAACAGAGTCTATAACATCTTCACTGCTAATTCTGAATGAATCTATGTAGTATTTCCTAAGAAAACAACAGCTAAGTAAACAAATTCGGTAAGAGATATTAGTACAAAATAGGAAGAAAGATCAAATGATATTTTCTCTTGGATGGCCAACTAAATACTTTTATGCTATTTTCCAAACTTGTAATAATTCAAATTCCAAAAGCATGGAAGCTCTGAAATTCCACAAAAGTAATATGCATTTCCACAACCCCTAAGCCAGAATAGGGGTAATCATTAGTCCATCTTCACAGAGAACCTTGATCACACCAACAAGGAAGCAAGAGATGAAAGGTGATTAGTTCTTAACTGATGTGCAAGCAGTGTCACTGAGGGATGATGAGAGGAGAAAGATGACTTTAAGTAAGAAAAAAATATTAC